TAAGATACATCTATAATAAGCTAAGTCAGCAAAGGTTTATCAAATGTAACAGACAAAATAAACAATGAAGTGAACATTTTGTAATACAAGAAAAAAAAAGTGAAATCACATTTTCTAAAGTTAAACAATAACAAATATACCTTCTGAAATTAAATATCTTCGAGGTGAAATAGCGAAAAAAAGAAATTACTTCCCATCACATTTTCATTTATATATTGTTTTTATCATTCAGTGACATATAACCATAATAGAAAATTATTCCAAAAATATAAAAAATAAAATAAATAATAGAATATGAAGTTGGTCATAATAGCTATAATTATAGACCTGAGAAGGAAGAAGATCGTAATTTGTACTTCAACTTCATAGTTGCAAAACTAATAGAAACCATACATTAACAAACATGATTTTATATATTATTGTATTATATTTCTATTTTCTTATTATATATTTTTATATAAGTATATATTATATATTTAAATTATTTTTAACATTTTCTATTAAATATCGCTTATCCGTTTAAAGAGGGAGTAAAAAAAATATTGAAAGGTCTTTGATTAAAATTTTTATTATGTGTAAAGAGCCATGTTAAAAATTATTAACATATTTGTAAATGTTATTGTCGTAGTTTCATTTATTATTAGCCTAAAACAAGGGTTTAAGGCTAATACTTACTTAGTAAAACTTCAAGCAGATCAAAGTACCCATAAAATAGTATTTTAAGCTTTTTTACATTATATAACCGGATCCGACAAAAGTTACAAAGAAAAATTGTTTGCTTAGGTAAGGAAGGAGAACTGCATTCCTCACTTGCAAATTGTGCATGAGCACTTTAACCACCGAATCGTGCCTTATCGCTTATTAAAAATTTAAATCCTTTCAGGGAAAACATATTCGTTAAATATTCGATGAAAATAATATATATTTAAATATAAAACTAAACTTATAAATTATAATAAGTGTGTTGACCAAGTGATTGTAATTCTAATATTTTGTTCCATTATGCTGAAAAATGTAATATTTGAAAAATAAATCAAAATACCCTAAATACTTTGAAAGAGGAAATAGAAAAGAGGAAGGGCAGGCGAAGAAGGAAAGGAAATATGTACAGGACAAATAGCACCCAAATACGTCTAACCCAGTGGTTCCCAAACTTTTTTGCCCATGGACCACTTTTTATAGTCAAAAATTGTCCACGGACCCCCCCCCAGTGAAAAAAGCCACATAAATGTATAGTATAAAAATTACAAATTAAAAAAAATAGTTGAAGAAGAATTTATTGAAATTATAAACTATAANAAATTATAATATTAATTACTTTTGTTTAAAATAAAATATAAAAAAATAATGACTTGGATGAACGTGATGAAATATTATGAGTGTATATATGTCCGACTCAATGTTTATGAGTAGCAACCGCAAATCCCCACGAGCACTGATTTCTAGTCGGTTTCTTTCTTTTGGGATCAGATTCATAACGGCACCACGTTCTACCAAATATGAAGACGGGAAAATAGCCAACAACTTCTGTACAATAACCCATAATGCAGGATATAAAATTGGGATCTGTCTTTGCAACCAGAATTTGTGGTATCCTTGTTCAAACATTGGTTAAGTTCCTCGTTTGTGGATTTTTCAATAAGCTACTCCTGGATTAGTATGGATTCGTCTGTGTTTGGGATCTGAGTTTGTCCAAGCGCAAAACGGTTCAACACCCAGGGGAATATCCAAGTGAAGAATATCTTCAAATCTTTGGTTCAGGTCTGTATGAAGAGCCGTTAGTGTTGACAGTAAGCAAGCAAATCTTCATCTCTAATTTGCAATTTCGAAAGATTTGGAAACTGAGAACATTCTCCCCTTCACAAGTTTTGTTTGTACAGAAAACGTTTTGCAACAAAAGTAGATGTTAGCTTCTTTTAAACGCTTTTAGTTTTGATTTCATTTAATTGGTCACCTTGTAGTTTCAAATTAGTTTCGTTAAATTCGGCAAATAAATCTGTCATATAGGCTATGTCATTTTTTGAGTTAATTAAATTGTGTCGAAAATCATTGTCTTTGCTTTCCAAGAATTTCAACACTGAATCAAAGAGCGCATAAAATCGATTTAAACATGCACTTTTAGATAACCAACGTACTTCTGTTTTATATTATTATTTATATTATATTATTTTATATTAAACCTTGCGCGGACCTCCTAACGTTGTTCAGAGACCCCCAAATCAATTTTAATTTTCCACGGACCCCTGAATGGTCCCCCTGGGGGTCTGTAGGCACCACTTTGAGAACCACTGGTCTAACCAATCAGCGAGGATAGGCAGACCAGGATGACCAGGTAACTATCAACAATAGATAAAAGAAATATCTCCGATGGGTGTGTTGGCAAATGTTTGGAGAGTTATGTTGATTTCGCCTAGCGGTTTTGTTTTTCTTTTTAATCCAACTTCACCTAACGGACACCACATCCACAACCAACCGGCGGTCGACGGGCGAAGTCTAGTCGCAGAATCCTATAGTCCAACTCACAATCAAAGAAAAAGGAAATTTCAATCAAGCTCGGTGGTCGGTGGCTGAAGGGCTTACAACTTGCACTTTGCAGACGTTAGGTAATAAACAAACGGATATCTCAAGGTGTTTTCGTTAGATATTTTCTCACAATTGCCTGAGAACAATCTTTGAGATTTGAATGAGACTTTTTCTTAGGTGGATTAATTTATTCACCGGATCCAGGTCGATTGTTTTTTTATATCGTTCACATAGAAACCTCCGCCATTCAATAGGAGAAAATTATTTCATTACATTTTCTATGTATGAAAACGTAAATGTAACTTTTTTTTCACGAGCAATGAAACTAGCTTACAGTTCAAAATAGAAACAACATCGATAAATTGACCAAGATTGATCCCCAAAGAATTGCTGTTTAATTTTTTTTTACTGAAATGATTGAACATTTGAATGAAAAGACAAAGTTGTAGCTTCAGAAAGCCCAACTTACAGTAAAACAAATGTTATCTGATTAATGAATGCGATTATTTTTGTAATGTATGTACCAGAAAACATTAACCAATGATTTTTTTTAAATAATAGACAAAGAAAAGCATGAGTTGTCTTCTTATGCCTAGTAATTATATAAATGTACATAAAAGTTGTATGACTTTGACAAAGTTTTTCGGGGTTTTTTTATTGTGTATGCGAGTGTATATGCGCTTGTTTGTATGTCTTAATAATGTGTTACAAACATACCAAACGACTTAAAAAAAAAACTGAAAATAGTGACCGTCTTATGAATAATATTTCTTCCTTTTTACATTAATTAGTATTAATGATTGAAAATAAAAGTATGCGTTTTCCATGTTTTCTTTTCTAGAATGTCGAGCAATTATTAATAATTTAATACGTTTAACAATTGTAGTTGTAAGTTATAATGAAATACAATTATTGATCAAATAAAAAAACCATATAATTGCAAAGTTCAAGCCATTAAATGGTAAGAGTGAGAGATGCGTTTTTCTGAACCCAGAGCTGAACCGTCTACCAATTCATTGTGGTATAATAATTAGTTTAGTTTAGGCTCAATTAGCCGGATTTTCATGGGTTGAGGTGAACTGCTGATCTCAGTAAATACCTTTCCACAATGAAACATAACTATGCTCTTTGTATAATTTGGAAAATAGAGTAGAAAGTGTTTTCCATTTTATAACGGTTTGCACGATACTTAGAGAATTCAGGATTAGATGTTTCAATACAACCGTAATAAATCTGATCGTTATTAAATTATTTAAACAGCACGTGTTGGACAAGCCTTTTGAGCTATTGTAAACCTACCTTGTCTTAGTGGAATAATTTTTTTTTCTTCAAAAAAGTTCAAAGTGAATCAAAAGTAAATATTTAAAAAAAATCTGAATTGAACATATTTAGTTCAGTTTACGTCATATAATAAAGAATAACATTAAAAATAAAATGGTCAACCCTTCAGATAGTCAATGAGAAGGCTGAAGGTTTTGGTATAAATTATTTTTCTGATATTTTTTTAACCAAAGTATCACTAAACCAAAGCAGGAATGTTTACAAGCAAAGTTTATTAAAGCCCCTTTTATAACGGGAAATATGTTTAGAAAAAAGATTGTTTTTAACAAAAATATACGTAAAAAAAGCATAAAAGTTTATGGTTTCTAATCTACAACGTTTAAAAGAATATTGTTCAAAGCTAAATGCTACTTGATTAATGCTTCGTCTTATTTAAGTTTACAAGCAAAGTTTATTAAAGCCCTATTTAGTCGAAAAATATGGTTAAAAATTTTTTTTAACCAAAGCATGTGTAAAAATTGTGAAAAGTCAATGATTTCGATTTTTTCGAACCTGTAACGTTTTAAAGAATATTGTTCAAGGTAAATGCTACTTGAATAATATTTAGTCCTAGTTAAGCGTATAAGGTTTTTAGATACACAAATAAATGTGTAACAATATATTTTGTTACATATTTTTTGAAGCCAAAGTTTATCAAAGCCCTTTTTTTGTGGTTAATGTCAGAATACATTTCCATGTTTTTAAATAAAACAATTTCAAAAGCTCTTTTGAGTAACACAGAAAATTTGTAATAAAAGATTGTTTTTAGCCTAAGGAATAGTGAAACAGCAGAAAAATAGAGGTTTTTAAAAAATAAAAATGTAATAAAATAGATTTTTGTCTTAAAAGTTAAGGAATATTGTTCGAAATAATATGATAGTTGATTTCTTGTCTTTTTTTAAGTTTGAAGGCAGTTTATTAAAGCTCTTTTTAGAAACACAGAAAATTTGTTTTAAAAGATAGTTTATAAAAAAAGTTCTTGTTTTCTTTTAGAGAATTTTTAATCAGATACAAGAAAATCTAATGATTTGATATTTTCATTTAAACTCTTTATATGCAAATAGACCAGGATTCCCAACAACTTTAAGTTATTATAGCGTCTTAGTTAGTAAAAAGAATACTGTTGTTAAGTTCTAACTTTTTAAATGTATACTTACTTAAAAATCTGTTTTTAAACTGATGCTTCAAAGTGATTGACTTATTTTCACGAGATACCTATAAACATGATTTCTGTTGGGAAGTTAACTCGAATAATACGTATTTGTTTGAATTCATCTATTGCCAAAAAAGAACTGATAGCGGATCCACGTGAGGATTTGTATACACCAAGTATCCGCTGGTCTGATCTTGTATACACTAGTGCTTAAGTCGGACTAACTGGCCATTCTCGTTTATTTCTCCCCACCGCACCGCGCACCGATAGAACTCCGCGTATTTTTCGCCGGAATATTTTTTCCCAAATAGTTGTTCAGTTTATTTTCCTTCTTAGAAGGCTTCTTCTCGCTGAAGAACCTGTTCCGGATTATTCGCGAAGGGGGGAGTTGACTAAGACGGCCTTACTCTGGGTTTTTCTGTGTTTTTTCTCTTTAGCCTTCGATATAATTGGTGTATAAGGTTTTTGTTTTGGACTATTTGAAAGGATGCTATTCAAGGATTCTCTATATTTATAGGTGTTAAAATTCAGATTTTGACAGTCTTAATCGTTTTTTTAATGTATTACAAATGTAATCACAAAAACAAATACAAAAAGATACCTAACTAGGAAAATAAAATTACAAGGTGGATGAGGTGTATTTGAAAACCGGTAACGGAAGCTCGAACCAAACCGAGGACAATCACTTTCCCTCGAGTCAATAAAACAAAAATTGATTAAATATCAAACAATTTACCGGGTCTGAGAATAGAAAAGAATTATTTAAAAAATCTCATGACAGTGAAATGTTATTAAACAGAAAATCGACGAAGATAAACTTATAAACGACAGAACAATAGTTCGATTCTTGGAGACTTTAACGCTAAGGTCGGTTGCTGCTCTGTTGCAAGCCAGCCCAATCAGTACAGACAAAGTAATTCAGAGTACATCCAGGTCCGCCTATTCTAGCTAAAATGGTCTACCAGTCGGTCTTGCACTATTTAAGTGAGTTTGGATGCTATTTACAAAAATTTTTATCTGTTAGTTTGCCTTAATTCGAATCGTGAGAAACTAAACGATTAACGACGCGTTTAGATTACATCAAGTTTTCGCCAAGTTTCTTCATTTTTGTTTCAGTTGTATTAATTCTACTTGCTGTTGTGGGTGTTGCAAAAAGGGTGTGACACGAGTGGTGAAAGAAGATTAGAATTTTGTATTTTGGAACCGTTTCCATATCGGAAGAGAAAAATGAATATCTGCACACAAAAAAGATATAATCGAAGAAACGGCTGGATAGCAGCATATCTGTACACATTTTGACAATTCAGGCCATATTGGGTCTATTACAGCTTATTGGTTATTGGTGTTTTATTCGTTAAGTATTGGACCTGGTTGATTATTGTGTTTTATTTTGGTTATATACGTTAGTTTTTTATGAATTTATGTTTTTAATCATTCCATTTTCGCAGCATGCTTTGTTCTATCCATGGAGGGATAACTAAACTACTGGTTGAGCATTATGTTGATGCTATTCTTCAAAACAGAAAGTATTTTTTAACTAGTTCGAATCGTTAAAGTTTTCATCAGGCAAAATGTGTTGCATTGCGTTGTCAAGCTGCAGGAGAAAATGCTTCTTAAAATTGGGTCTTAAATCTCGCAGTCAGATTCACTTAGGCAGTATTTTATAATGTATTTACATTTTTATGTATACCAGTTCTACATAAATAATTCCTTGCAACAAGGATCGCAATTGTGCAAAACAGGCATGACTTGTTCGTCTTGTTTGACGATAGAGGAGGTACTTAATTTGCATTAAAGAGTTTAATTTCGTGAACGTGTATGACAATAGGATTAGAACTTTGACAAAAAGACAATACGTCAGAACCGATGTTTAAAAAGTTGTCAACCCATGCCCTGCGTGCAGTTAGTTGATGAGCAGCGAACACGCAACGGATAAGGAAAATCTTTAGGGGTAATAACAGCACAATAGCCCAAGTATGAAAACAGGCGTTCGGACTTGTTTAGTCAGGGAGAAAAACATGTTGACTTAAAAAAAATATAAATAAATAAATTCATAATTTTATGCTTGAGAAACAGAGAAACAAAAATTGTCTTTGATACATTCATGAAAATATGAAGTAATGGAACACGACCGAGTCTATTATTCAACCGATCTCACCTCCTAAAACACCAAAGTTTTTAAAAATAATAAGCATTATTTTCAAAATTGCTAGGTGCTCCTCCTTTTAAAACAATACATACTATCAAACGCCAACTTGAGTTAAGATGTCAATCTTGCCATAGGCTTTTTAGACTTCATCGACCCTTCCTCGAAGGAAAAGTTGTTTCCCTTTTGTTTGTGTAAAAAACGTACAAAATGATAAACACAAATAAACTAATATAATAAGTAATAAAAATAAGTAATATAATAAACATAGGGCACTCTCAACACGACATACAAGAATGGCACATCTACACGGAAAACAAACACTTTTAGCCCAGAAGATGATCTCAATAAAGATCGAAACGTTGGCACGTTAAAGAAAATGTTTTTCTAAAACCTACGTCACAGCAGACCGCATCTCACTATCTCCGAATAATCATTGATTAACGGTCACTAACCACCACACATAATAAACATATTTACATTTTCATGTACTTCTGCAAAATTAAGCTATTTTGCCAGACTTGAACTACCAAGTCTCCACTACATATTGTTTTTTGTATTATTTTTCCCAGACGAGAAAGTTGATCGGGAGTTGATCCATATTTTTGACTTACAATCAGTTCCATATTTTTTGATATCTTGCCTTTTTTTTTTTAATTGTATGTTACCTCTAACTCTTCTTCCAAAACACTTTATTACTTCAAGTTATGCGTGCTATTAAAAAACTACCTCTTAAGAAAAAACATGGATTCGACCTTATTATCGCTTCAGTTAAGCGTAAAGTCGTAAACTGCCCAAAAATGCTATAGTTTTCTTCCTCACACCACGTATTTACCAAAGCAATAGAAGTTGTCTATTGTTCGAGCCCATTCCTAAACCTACCAAACTTCATCAGCCATCAACTTACAGATTTCTACGGGCCTATCAATTTATCACCAATTTTTGTAAAAATCTTAGAAAAAGTTCTCTTCAAACAAATCAATCCCATCCTCGAATCTTTGAATATTATCTTAGACCATCTGGATTTAGGCGACTACTATACAACAGTGCCATTATGTTGTGGATACGATTGCGTATTCTCTCGAAAAGAACAGTGCTGCACGAGGGCCTTTCTCGATGTTGAACAGGCTTTCGATCGTCTGTCATCAAGGGAAAATGAAGGGCATACCATCCTTTACACACTTTTTAATTCTCAAGTCCAATTTTTCTTGTAAAAGTTTAGAGTTTGGGTTGAGTACTTTTCCTCTCCTTTGCATAAGGTCAGTGGAAGAGTTGCGCAAGGTCGTGTCCTGGCACACAATGTACACAGCCTATATTTTTTTTCATGCTGACACTACGATTCTCATATTTGCTGATGACACAATATTATCATTAAAGTCCCGATCCCGACATAGCTCATCGAAACTTACAGACTCACATTTATGCCTTGGAGCAGTTGTTCACAAAATGGCGCATTAAACTAAAACCTCTCAATAAAAAAAAAAATTTTACATTCCGGCGCATCACTCTGACCTACTCATCTCTACTCCTTAGAGCAGTGCTTCACAAAATGGCGCATCAAACTAAAAACCTCTCAATTCAAAAGCATAAAACCAGTGCTATTACTAGATGGCTTCTCAGATTCTGGTAAAATAACGAATAAAAAACGTTAATATTTACGTAATTTTTAGTTAAAAAAAAACACTAATGCGTGTATATTACAAAATATAAAACAACTTAAACAAAATAAATTAATGAAATCATACTTCCAAGAAATCGAATTCAAACACAAAATGTCTTATTTAAAAGCTAATATTTAAATTTTCTTTTAAAATTAGATCATTACGTTTTATAAGTCTATATTTTGACATAGTGTAAGAACTGTTTTAAAGAGATTCGTACAACGCTGGGAAATTAATTATTTATTGTTTTAATGTTAGAAATATGAAAGATACACTTACGTTTCCGCTTGTTACGACTAACAGCAAAGGAAGTCAATATAAATCGGCGGTCGTACCATTTCCGTATGACATTTTAACCAAGGTAAACTGATTAATATCTGGCCTGATTTCAGTTCTCGACGGTCACAAAACGTCTGTCAATTAGCTCTCTTCCTTCGAATAAGCTGAACTAGCAGAAACGATATTTTCTTGGTTTTATTGTTGACGTAATTTTGCGTGTGGAAAATGTTTATATATATATTTTTTTTTGGGGGGGGGAAATAGGCTACCGTTAGTGTGTATTTATAATAATGGACACTGTAACAAAATGATTTATTTCTTGTGGGCAAAATTTCGTTTAAATTATTTACTGCTGGCTTAAAAAACTATTGAGTTTTAACCAGCCATTGTTTGTTTTTGTAATAGTGAATTTCATAACATATATCCAACCACAGAAGCCCAACTAATTAAGATAAATACAATAATAGAATAGGAGAATAGTGGTAGATATGGAAATTGTTGGTAGATTTCTGTAATTTTTCCTATTTTTTGAGGTAATAATTTAAAGGGCAGTGACCAATACAATGGTCTATTATTTTCTTTAATTCTTGCATGCTGAGAGAGTGATTTCATTTTTGTTTCTCTGGGGCTGAGAGATGTTGAGGAAGTTCTTTATTTTGCTCCAGGTGAATCGATCTATGTGTGGTTATTTCTTTCTCCATCCATTTGTTCAGTTCTGCCAGCATGCCTTAGGCAATTTGCAGTTCCGGTCCAAAGAGTGTGAAGACTGCTTCTGTTTTTGTAGTTTATCACCTTCTTTGTTGCCTTCAATCCCCTCATGGCCTGGTATCAACATCAGAATTACCTGATTTAGTTGTTTCAGAAGCTGAAGATATGTTAGGTATTCCCAGACCAGCTTTGAATTGAAGGTGGAGGAGTCTTAAGACTTTAGTGTGCTAGCCTGTCTAAGAATACGTACCTTTTAATCCTTTTTAAAGTATTTCTTGTGCACAGTTTTATTGCATGGGCCTCAGCAATGTTGTATTTCTTTAAATTTGTTTACAATAAGGTACGTAATTGTATGCTCCAAATGCCTTTGATACCATGTAAAAATACTGTGTGGTTGTAAAGCCATGCTTTCTTTTCAATTATTTACGATCTTGAGATATCAAACACGTAATATACTTGGTATTACATTACCTTGTCTTGTACAACTATGCTTCTACTTGTATACTTACTACTCAGGAAAAAAATTATATACTTGCCTTTTCAGAAATATTACCCCTTTTATCTTTATTTTCCAGGCATTTATTAAAACATTTACGTAGTAAAATAAAAACACCTCTGAAAACAAAAAATGTAATTTTAGAGAGAAAAAATATATATCACACTTTTGTGTTTGAATATAAAACAAAAAACAAATCTAAAACATACAAATCGGGTGAATCATCTCCTTTTGCTCTTATTACCCTCTAATCTTCTGCTCATAATTAAGCCTTCAACCACGTCTTGAGGAATTTCATCCCAAATTTCAACTAATGTAACTTTCAGCTTAGCTAAGGTTGTAGGAGGGTTATTTCATTTTACCCAACATCCGAGCTTCTCCCAAAGGTGCTCAATGTGGTTCAAATCAGGGATATGGTCTGGCCATCTTAAAATGCGAATATTGACATCTTGAACTTTAAGCGGACCCAACAATGGTCTATGGCAGGTGTTGGACCTATGGCTGACCTTCTGGGTTGTATTAAACTCATTTCTGCAGTTTCCTTCTTAATGTTTCAGCACAGACACATCTGACATCATTCTAAGTCTATGATATGTTTCATAAGCAGTAGAAGAGCAAATTCTCAATGTGCAATCTGATAAATTAGTCATCGGCTGGTGCGGTTGTCTTACCAGCGGTCAGACTGGACGTCCAATCTTGGTTTCTGAGCAAACCATCTAGTCTCTTAGTAGTTAGTACCACTGAATGCTTGATGTGTCATTTCAGCCAAACCTAAAACCCACGCTGTATCTTGTTCTGCTGCTTCTTCCATCTCAACAACAAGTGCAATGGCATGAGCTACTTGTTCACTGATTATGGGGTTTTTAATAATCATTTTGTTTCTTGCCACTAACACAATATTTAATAAAGGCATTTTTAATTAATTAAATGCTATTGTTGATGATTTACATTGTGGGTTTTTAAATTAAGTATTAAACGGTTTGGCTCACAATCTGTGAAAAAATACTTTCTAAGTATAATTATTAAATCATCTTTAAAGTAGTAAAACAAAAAATAAGGCCAAAACATTTTCAAATTAAAAAAAGAGATCAATGCATTGCTTTTTTTAGTGGAATAATATGACTCTGTGCTTTATGTGCTGTTGTTATAGTTTATACTAGGGTCCTGTTAAATTTAATTATATTTTAACAAAATCCTTTTACTTTCAGGACAAAAAAGAACATTGGGCGAAATAATTATTATTTTATTTTTTAAAAATGTATATTTATATTTCGGAGTTAATCAGAAATGATAAGAGACATTGGATTTTTGTAAAGAAAACACTAATCACTGGAAAATAAAACAAAAGGCTTCCGAACAAGAACAATTCCTTTGGCTTAATGTCCAGTTATTTCTCTTCTCATATTCATCTTTTTCAAAATGTGGTAGTCGCAGGTTTATGAACACGAGGACCATCAGCTTTAGTAAATTCAGCGTCGCCCCCTCTACAATTGAAATTTATTTGTTAAAACATTTAATCTAGAAAGTGTAATTGTCTCATGTTGAAGGAGAAAAAAAAATGTCAACATCTTTTAAATTAGAATTCTGGTCATTACTAACTGGCAATAAATATAGAAACTTCAAAAATTGTTTATACACAATTTCTAAATGCTATAAAAAGCTTAAAACATCTAACCAAACAAGTAATAATTTTTTATGAGCTATAAACTAGTGGTAATTGTTATTAGATATGGTTTCTGACTAGTTTGTTGCAACTTGAGAAATAATTTAACATCAATTGCATGTTGTATTTGTACATCTAAAAAGGAAGGAAAAGGGTTATTGGAATTTACGATGACTATAACGTAAAGTTTTCAGATTTTTATTTTTTACTTTAGAAGCAAAATGCACATCGAAATTTACAACTTAACCCTACTAAAAAAATAATTTTGTAGCTAATAAAATTATAAACTTTGTTGTGCATTAAAATTTAAGTAGTTTTGTTTATTTTTTGGAATTTGCTGTTAAAATACATATGCTTTAGATGGCTTGCTTTAAGAAATCAAAAACAAACAAAAAATACTTAATTTGAAGTTAAGCATTTAAATCTTCATTGGGAAGTAAATAAGTTTAACTTTCAGATTTGTTTTAGTATAGGTAACAAATTATAAAACAGGAGCACCTCTACAACATTTAAACTATGTTTGTCTGGGGAAACCACATCATAAAAATACCATGGTTGACAAGGCAAAAACTTTTTTATAAAACAATTAAGAGATCTGTAAAACTCAAAAGATGTGTTTTAACAGCCTTTCATTCAAAAAAACATGTTAATAAAGTTAGTATCAATCGAATGAGTTGTACAGTTGGAAAAAAAAACAAAAAAAAACCTGCCAATTTTGAACTATTTATTCTATAAACCGGGAAGGAAAAAAAGGCATGTAAACAAAAACGTTCATTTGATTTTCTACTTAACGACTTGCTACCTGCATCTTATCTTTACCAACTTTGTTTCGCTATAAAACCCTGTTTTCAAATTTAAAATTTTTCCTAGTATAAACATTCCATAAATTCGAGGTCCATCGCATCCGTATTACATGTAAGTGCAGGTGCAAAACAAATAAACATTAATATTCCTTACACATAAAGATAAAAATAAAAAATACTTTTTTTGTTTTTAATACAAGTTAAGGAATTTTATCACCGATTAACAACTTTAATAAAAAAGTTGATACATCCAATCTGTAACTTTCCCCAATTTACTTAGAGCTTTCCTTTTTGATACAAAAGATAAAAAATAAACTTCGTAAAGAGTGGAATGTCAACAAAAAATAAATAAATAAATCTTAGCATATGTACAAGTGTTGTACATAACTACAAACAAAACAAGAGAGCGTATCTATTATGGAGCTACTTGAAAAGGGAGTGATATGTGTAAACTGAAGAAAGTCTTAAAAAATTGAGGAAATTTACCAAGTCTTCACTATTCTAAACGTAATAAATAACGTTATAATCATGAGATTAGAATAATTAATCTACATCCATATTGTCTGTCTTTGCTTCATCGTTAGCCGGTTGTTCCTGAGGTGGTGTTTGCTGTTGTTTGCCATTATTCGCTTTATTGTCGCCGGCTGGTTCAGGTGGTGGTTCAACTTTGGGTTTTGGCTTATCCATTACGGCAGAGACAGCTTGTTCTAACGACTATAAACAAAAAATGCAAACATTAAAAACAGGGAATGTTTTGTGGGAAAGCACAGTGTACTACCTTCTTTTTGGACTTGATTTCCGAGGTAGTTACTGACGGATCTTGATGCTTTGGGCAACTGATTAACAACGTCCTCTTTTCATTTAACCAATCGAATGCTTCATTCACAGAAGCTTCAATCTAAAATTACCAAACGACAATGCAATTATTATCAAAAACAACTTATACAAGATGAACAAACTTAGAAAAGATAAATTGTTTTTTACATTAATTGTGAACAAGATACCTTTGTGACTGCCTCAGGGTCAAGGTGGTTGTACTTTTCATCACCATTCTTAAAAAGTCCTATAACTTTTTGTGAGATCATAATGCAATGTGAAAGTTCTTCTAAAGCCGAATCTCTACATTCAAATTCTAGTTTTCTGTTCTTTACAACCTCACCAACAGTCTACAAAGAGAAATAAAATTATTTAATTGTGTTAAATACGTTTTTTCTTTTAATATTTTAAAAATGTTGTCACCTTTAACCCACTGAGCTTTTCAGCATAGATCTGCCTGTTGCAATCTTCTCCCTCCTCATACAGCCATGTTTCCATAGCGTCTAGTTCAGAAATATAGCTGGAACGAAAATTGTGCAATTAATAAGCTTTTCTAAAGAGATTTATCTAAAATATATTCAGATAATTACGATTCTTTATCTTCGGGTAACATAAAGAGCCCAAGATCACTCTCATCGCCTAATCTTCCTCTTAAATCATAAACATATTCTTCTAGTGCATTTCTAGCATCTGCTCTTTCCTTTTCTTGTTTATCCTGGGCTACCATTTTGCACTGAAATTGTAAGAAAAAATTGAAGAAACCTTTTTAACATAAAAAAGAATCAGCAAAGAAATGGCAAAAACGTACTTCTTTTTCATAATAATCATTAATCAGTTCAGTAGAAAGTCCATGCATTAAAGATTCAATAGTAAGATCAAGGGCTTTTGTAACTTGTTTCTTTTTTTTCGAGTCTTTCTTGTCTCCCTTTTCATTTTTATCTGTGTTATCTTTATTCTAGAAAAAAAAAGCTGATTAATTTTAAAAAAAACTTTCTTTTGTAATCTCCAAATAACTTACTTGAGGTGGATCAACTTCGCCATTTTCTTGACCCTGTTCCATTGGTTCCGGCAGAGGGTTTGCACCATTTTCAGAAGGAGAAGCCTCCATGTTTTCAGACTCTTCTTCGACATCTTTTTTCTCAACAAGTGTAGCACTGACAACACTCACAATGCCATGGATATTGACTCTCACTTTAACTTTAATCTTACTAGACTCGCCTTCAGAAGTCGCTTTGACATCCTTAATAATATAACGTCCTGGATAGAAAAATAATTTGTACTTAATTTTCGTTTCATTTAATTACTATTAAGAAAAAATATTTACCTATGTATTTATCAGGGTACGGAACATCATTGTTATAAAATGCTCTTAATTCAAAGTTCTCTTTTCGATAGAAGACCAACATTTTGCTGAATGGAACTGGATGGAATTGTGGGAAGACTTCCATTTCACTAATAAAAGAAAAATGTAAATTAGCAAAAAAAGAAATGACAACACCTATTATTATTAATCATTAATATATATGTTTATAAAATACTAACCCATCTTCCTTTGCACTTGGATCCCAGACAAGCTTGATGGGATAGTTCTGAATATCAGTGATACTAAATTCTCGAACCCTGACAGCTGGCGAGAGCAAGGCACACTGCAGAGCACATCCTCTAGCAACAGCTTCATCCTGGTTCAAAGTAGTGCTAGCAACTTTGCCAAAAACAACCTCAATCAAATTCTTGATAGCAGGAATCCTCGTAGATCCCCCGACAATCTCAACAGCGTAGATGTCTTCTTTTCGGAGCTCTGACAAAAAAATTGTTTGTGTTAATGATAAATTTACTTGTACACAGCAACTAATGCTAACTTACTTGAATCTTCCAAACATTTCCTTAGTGTCTGTTCCACTCGGTGGAAGAGGTGGGAACACAGTCCTTCCATATCAGCCCTAGAAGAAATTTGTTATTATGCATCAAAAAATAATATTAAGGTGACTGAAGGAGCACAGGAATGTCCAAAAGTTCAAATAGAAAACCCTAGTTGTACCAGGAGAGAGAGAGAGAGAGAAGGTAAAATCACAGATGGCAAGTTTAAAAGAGCAAAAATTATCCAATGAACGAAAGTTTACCACACCTTTTCATTTCACCACGAACATCTTTATCATCCATGAAGCATTCTATCTGCAAAGGCAACATTGTAGAATTGGCTGACATTTGTTTCTTTAGTTTTTCAACATCAGTCAAAAGCCTAAGATAAGCGCGATGGTTGTTCCTTGGATAGATGTGATATCGTGTCTCAAACTCCTTTGAAAACTGATCAGCGAGAATTTTGTCGAAGTCCCTTCCTCCGAGATTCGGGTCGCAAGCAGTTGCTAGCATCTGTGACAATATTTGTAATAATTGTATAACAATAATTGTAATAATATAACAATAATTGTAAAGGACTTTGATTTTAACTCGCTTACATTAAGTTTCCCTTTGTTGAAAGCACAAGCGAAGACTTGAAGAGAGGAATGGCCACAGTCGACAAAAAAGACGTTACGCGGCTTTTCTTCTGGCGATGGCAAGTCCTGTTTGTATATCCCATAAGAAAGGGCAGTGGCTGTAGTCTCATTCATTAGCCTCAAAACATTCAATCCAGATATTTGTGCAGCATCTAATAATGCCTTTCTTTCAGCATTCGTATAGAATGATGGGACCTATAATCAATAAATAATAAATAATTCAAATTATTATCATGATGTTACAGTAACTTTGTAAAATGATTGAAAGGTCATTCAATTGCTAAGAAAGGAAATGAGAACCAATTGTCAAGAGAAGGTTGGGTGATTAATTTAATTCAAATCACTCCCTCTTTAATTTGAGCTCAATAATAGCTGTCCTTGAAAAAGCACACAGCAAATTTGTAGTATGTACAAATATTCATGTATCTAACGGCTTTATTAATGTTTATTAATTATAAATATATCTATTAACACTCACTGAAATAACACAGTCGTTAACTTTGGTCTTCAAAGCATGTTCTGATGTCTCCTTTAGTTTGGTGAATAACATGGCAGTTAATTGTTCAGGTTTAAAGATGTGTTCCTCATCCATATAATTGACCTGTAAAATAAAACCGAATTAAAAATGTCGTGTATGAAAAAAATATAATTACAACACAAATAATCCAACCTTGTAGCCCACACCCCCTTGGTGGTTCACAACGTTGAAAGGAACGGAACGCAGTTCCTTCTGAACATGGGGGTCCTCCCATGTTCTCCCGAGCACCCGTTTGAAACCATGGATCGTGTTCTTCATGTTCGTCACCGTCTGATTCTTCGCAGCAACTCCTAAGACACGATTCCGCCCACTGAATGCCACACATGATCTAAAAACATAGATGAAAAATTAATATAAAATTGATTAAAAGGTCATTTAAAACCTAACTTAATAAAATGAAAAGAAACAGGCTATCACCAAGACCCCCCCAGTATTACAAAACTGTTATGATCACAAAACAACGCTATCTTTTATTAAATGTTTGTTCAGCAATAAATAAATAAAAATTTAACTTGCTCTGCTATTTCACTTATAATCTCACACAAATTATTTTACCCTTTATTAAAAGCTTATTTCGACCTTTGAAAAAATAAGTTTTTCAATATATTATACATTATGGGGGGGGGAAAGCTAAGCATTTCACTGTTGAAATAATTGAACAGTCAGACCATATATTGAAACTATAAACACAAGACCTGTTTATCTTGCAATGTTTGAATTTTGTCTGCAATAAGAAATGAACAAAATATTTAACTTATTTCATCTTGAATAGTGATTTTGAAAAAAAAATTATTATTATTATAATAAAATAAAATAACTTAAAAAAATGTAAAAACACTACATTCAAATTTGGTTGTATGAGTCATGGACCAGTTTTACAGTTCAAGGCTGATCAACCAATGTCAGCCTATCTGCTATAGAGGATGTCCTTTTTTGTCTTCACCATCAGTATTTTTACATATCACCTATGCACACGAATAAATGCATATGTACATATGCAAAAAAAAAATCCTCCAATTACAAACTTTAGCCTGTAAAAATGCTTCAGGAAAAAATAAACAAACCGCTTATTTAACACTACAACAGTTTTATCATCCCCCCCAAACAATATACTAAATTTATTTTGAAAAATTTAAATCTAACTCAAGGCCAACGAAAATAATTAGAATGATAATCTAAAATTAGAATGATCAATAATTATTCTCATAGCATTCAGCAGTATTCCAAAGTATAAATATGAAACTATCACAAGTTAGAATAGTAATATAGAATCAAATAACTTTCTGGTCTGGAATAACCCTTGAAAATTAATACTACTTTTAAATTAAAATGTTATTAATAAAATAAAACTCAAGCAGTCGAGTCTTTAATTAATATCAAATTTCTATCAGAAAAAGAAATGTTTATCAACTACACACAAAGGAAAATAAGAAATGGAAGAGAAGAAAAGCAATGAGACACGATAAGATCTAAGAAACAAATATAGTTGAATCAAATAATAATAGAAATAGCCTTGACATTAATAGAAAATTATAAAAATTTTGGAAATGGAAGAACTCTGCCAGCCTCTACAGTATATGAATTAAATGAAATGAAACTTTATAAAAGAAAACACAACAAAGACACCCTATGCAATAATAATAATAAAGAAAAAAACGAGTAATATCTGTACGTTTTAGAGTGCAGTGATTCTGACCTACTGCATCAGTTTGTTACAAAGCTTCAACTTATAAGACGTTTATTTAATAAACTGTGTACTGAACAGTGCTTTTATTAGTCACCTTAAATAATAACTAATTCAGGAAGAAAACATGAAACAGGAGATGAAAAACAACATTCTCAACAAGCAATAAGCCGGCCTTTACAATCGAAAAAGTTTACACAAATGATTATTCGGAGATCGTGAGATGTGGTCTGGTCTGGTGTGACGTAGGTTTTAGAAAAATATTTTCTTTATCATGCCAACGTTTTGATCTTTATTGAGATCATCTTCAGGGCCTGGGATTTACAAATATTGTTTAAATTTAACAAATATATGTAGGATGTGGGGAAAAAAGTGAATTTATACAATGCAAAAAAATATTTTTATATTCAATCAAAGTATTTCTATTCAGTCAGTGTTTGTTTTCTGCATTTTTTTTTTGCATTGTATAAATTTACTTTTTTCTCACATCCTACATGTATTTGTTAAATCTAAACAATGTTGACCGCATCTCACGATCTCTGAATAATCATCAACTAACGGTCACTAATCACCACATGTTTACACAAATATGTGTTTTAAAAATTTAAGATATCTTTTTCAGGAAGTGTTATTGTTGAGGGCAGAAAAAGTACAAATCATCAAAAGATCAGACCAACATGAGTATCCTTGAGGGCAGTTTGACCATGTGCTCTGGTTCTGTTTTGAACATGCATAATCTGTGAGAACGAGTAATCTGATTGTAGATAAATGATAAGAATAAATCGAGGAAAAGAGAAATTTTACACATCTAACAGAATTCCTTAGATGTATCCTTTAAACGTGCAATATCCCCTGCAAGGGAGATTGTGCAAAAACAGATTTCTAATAATTAATAAATTTTACATCTAAATCCCATTAAATTACAATAGTTTGACAACTGATGCAAATAATGTGGACACCTTATCGAGCAAGGAATGAAAATATCAACCATAACACATATTAAATAGTATCAAATAATGGTCGATATACAATTGAAAATTATAATAAAATTATAATTAACTAATTAATCTAAAAGTGAATTAATTTAAACTATATTTAACTTTTCCTAAGTCTGATAAATTATTTTTGCCACACAGCATTCAAAATTATATTTTGACTTTTTGGCCCAGGAAAAAGGCATTTTCTTCATAGAAACAAATAACCTAAATGTCCTTGAGTGTTGTGACCGTGTGTCTCTTTTGAATACTCTCAATGACTTGCGACTTAATGATTTTCAATGAGACGAATTGAGGAAGATAAAAATAATACATCCAATTTGATCCTTACAAATTTTTTTTTGGTCTGCCTATCTAGCTGGGTTGGTCAGTCACGCAAGTTTGGTGTTTTGCCTTCTTCAGTAAGTATGTGCAATTAAATTCAGTCAAATCTTTTTTATACTATCATGGGAGTGGAGTGTGTGTGAGTGTCGGCATTTTCTTTGTTTGTTGGTGCCTTCAGGGATTAACTACGGTTTTCTTGATTATTCCAATACATCATTGTGATCATTAGTCCTTTTCCTTTTTTTAATTGTAAAGTGTTTTGAACAATGTAAAACTTGGTAATTTGTGTTTCTATATTAATAAGTTTTTTTTTTGCCCTTTGTGTATGTCATGTAGCAGTTTCATCCTTGTCTAAATTGTTGAGGTTGTGGTGGTTTTCCATAAGGTGATTCTTGTAGCTTGATTTTGTACTGAAAAGATTTTATATTACTGATTACAGATTTACATAAGCCCAAATCTGCACCCATGTGCAGAGCTGAGCCTTCACTTCTCGCAGACTACCAGCAGACCTTGAGAATCACCCACTCCGCAATCTGGGGTCAGAACTCTGCCTTATCTATCTAACCACCAAGGTTTTTAATTGGTTAGATAGTGACTTTCTTCTATGAATCCTTTGAGGGCTACCTTACACTCTCTGCCGATCCAGCCAACCGACACTGCCACTTTCTTTTAATCATGTTTTTATTGCATTTTTAGCGTCAGGGGATCCCTGTGGTTAATTCCGGAGACTTTCCTGAATTAGCCACTTTGCCAACCTTTTCATTACCTTCCAAACCTATACGCCAGAGTAACCAGACAACAACACCTTGTATTGTCCTGTTTGTCCGATGTATTTGTTTCTATATTCAAGGTTTTGTCTAAATTTTGTCTTAGTAACTTTCCAATTGTACCCGTGGCCTTCAATGCTGCTTTAGTTCCTAATTTGTTGAATAGATTTGTTTTTTAAGTTTCTGTCCCCATATTTGTAAATGCGGTTTACATCTGTCTGTTTTTGTAGTGTGTTTTTGTTTTTGCAAGAGTGTGTTTTCTTTATATCTGTCATATATTTTGCCATTTTGTATCGGCAAACCAAAAAGATGATCGGTAAGGATCAACTAATAAGTTCATAACAACGCAGACCAAAGGAAGAAATCTCACAATTAATCAAGGTTGGATCAATACCTTTGGGAAATGCATTTAAACATAAAATTGTATTTATTATTTAGAAACAAAATTCAAATTTAATATAATAGCACTGACCAATTTGTACCATGGAAATAATTTTCCTACATAAAATATTTTAAGTGTTTGTGCTTTTTTATTCTATCCTGCGTAAATATTTTTTTTTAATAAATGATTATAAAAATTAACTTTATTATAAATTAATCTGTATACAATAAAAAATAAAAAGGTTAAAATCTGACTCTTACTTGGGAATATTCTAGAATCCCCCCTCCATAACCTCATGATCAATTAAACTTTAAAAAATTGGCCAAAATCATAAATTAGTTAAGATAAATGTTACATTAGTACTATATATTATTTAGATTTACACATATAAATATTATATATGTATTAATATATGACTGAAAGAAAAGGAAGCACATAAAAGGAGATTTCATTGTTGTCTGTAAAAAAGTGTAATGTCAAAAATGTGCTTTGTTTTAGTGCTTTTTCTATTTTCTTTTGAAAGTGATATTTAAAAAAAAAATATTTTTCTTGTTTTTTGTTGGTTATATTTAATACGATAACTATTAAAAATTAGAAAACTGTTCTCAGTTACAAAGAATAATGATGTATGGTGTATTTTTGTGTATGGTTATGCTATTAAATGTGAAGTATGTTATTTTGGATTGTTAAAAGACCGAATGCAGATTTTGAGTGGAAGAAGTTTGTGCAATATTTTATAGAGTAACACCAAGAACGTTAGACCTAAGTGTCCTTGACAGAGGTTTGGCCATGTGGCCTAGCACTTCTTTTGAATACAATTAATGACTTGCGATTAAAATTATTACTGATAATGCGAATCGAGAGAATTTGAAATTCACAAGATTGTTTAATAGAAATTTAACATTTTATTTTTTAAAGGTGGTGAAAAGGACGGACAGTCGGGTCTTTGATATGATGTAGTTTTAAGATGATTGATTAGATTGCGATTGTCTCCTAGATGTAAAAGAATAAAAACTGAATAAAAACTTTTGAAGGAAAACAGATGCAAAGTGTAAAGGAGGGAGAGTTAATTTGATAACTGTGCCCCATGACTTTATGAGGCAATAGGGAGAAGGAGAAAAAAAACTTTCCCTTTCCTGTTGTTTCTAGTGCTTAATCTTATGAAATGTATTTTTGAGTACTTACGGCGTCTCTCTGAGGCTGTAGTCGTTTGTGATCGTTTCAATGCCGCCAGCACGGGCGACAGCGACATAGCAGTACTCATTACCGAAATCTATACCGATCACGGACATAGCGGCCATAAATTGTTTCCAAGCCCGTGAAAAATTACAATTGTCTGTCTTTGTGTTTTGTGCTGGGAACGTAGAGCTGGAAAAACTGTAGATATCTAGCGCTGGCAACTTTTCAGTTCGTCGAAAAGGCACCGACTAGAGTCTTGGTACGGGACTCGGTTTGATGACCGGCGAGGAAAGTTCTAGAACATGTGAGCGCCGTGCGGATTGAATTGAAACGTCCCCCGGAGTGGGGATTTCTGGAATTCGGACAGAGAAGGGAGAAGGGGGCGGCTGTATCAATAGTTCACTGCCGACTTGAACAACGTTCTTCAAGGGCTGGACTATTCTAGAACTTCCAGGCTTTTTTCCAGTTCCAGGACGCCGGAAAAAGCGTTCGGTAATGGAGTTGGCTCACACTTTCGATTAACACGGCGGAATTCTCTGGAAAAATTTCTTTTCCCTCCGATATAAAGCCGGCTATTTTCTATAACAAAAAACTGACCTGAAAAATACGTTATTTTTTTTAAAGAAACATTTGAATCACATGAAAAGGTGGAAAACTTCAAGCCGACTGGTCAAAAAAAAAAAATCACAAAAAACTGAATTTCAAAAAGTAATGACTTTCATAGAAAATTTTTTATTCCTGAGTATTTGGCTCTTACGAATCAAAGGTTAGAGAAAATTTGCGTTTTAAAATTTTATTCATACAAAACTATACAAATCTGTACTATTATAAAGTGAGAAAGTGGTTTGTATGTAACAGGTAATCTCTACCAAAATCTGTTGGTTCGATTTTGATCAAATCTTTTGGTTCGATTTTGATCAAATCTTTTGGTTCGATTTTGATCAAATCTTTTGGATAGGCGTTCCTTATGATCGAAGATAAGGACACGTTTTATCTTGTTATATTTTAGTACGAAATTTTCTTAAAGTTTTGGCCCCAAACTTGCAAATAGTCACTAGACTATAACCACATAAATGAATATCAGCGCCTTTTTCAATAATATAATAAACGTTTTCAATGCTTTCATTTCGGTTAACTTTACGATTTTTATGTTACACAGCTCCATCGTTAATCTCTGATCGCTTTTAAATTATTTAAACTGAAATACCAGAAAAAAAACTTTTAAACAGCTAAATATTGTTCAAATTATAGGATTTTGTTTCTATTTATCGATTCTCTCTTCATCCTTAACTCAAAAAAAGCATTTAAAATCGATATGAAATTTGCCATCGTCAGGCAGTTTAAATTTTTGGCTGAAGCCTTTTCTTGATTTTAAATGGGGAGAATAGATAGAAGAATAAATAATTTATTCTGGGACAGGAGTGTCACTTAGAATAATATATAGGTATCGAAATATTATTAATATTTTGACACAAAAATAAACCTTGTAGTGATCAATAATGACAACGGACTTATATAAAACAAAACCAAAATGATTTATTTTCTTCCTCCCCAATGAAAGCATTTAAAATCGATATGAAAAGGCTTCATCTAGCTGGCAGTTTAAATTTTTGGCTAATGCCGTTTCATATCGATTTTAAATGGAGAGAATAGATAGAAGAAGAAGAAATAATTTATTCTGGGACAGGAGTGTGCACTTAGAATAATACATAGGTTAAAGAAAAATTATTAAAATTTTGCCACAACAATAAACCATCATAGTGATTAATGAAATAACAACGAGCTTATATAAAACAAAACCCAAAGGAGTTAAAATTAAAATGAGTTACTCTGAAAATTAACATAGGAAAATAATAATTACAGAGTGAATTTAAACTGTAGTAAATAGAATCTGGTGGGAGAGGCAGTGTATGAACAGGTATTTAAAAAAGTAAGGGAAAGAGGCACTGTAGAAAGTTAGGGGGAGGGAGTGCCAGAACTTTGTTGCACAGACCAGGAAAGACTGTTTAAAGGGGCAGGATTAGGTCACAGGGAGATGAGTGGGAATTGTAAGAGTGGAAAGAGGATTTGATTCTGATGGACTGGATAATGTAATGAGGCCGATTGATGTTAATGGCCTGGAAGGAACCAAAGAAAGATAAACCGGGAAGAGAAATAGAGCCAGAATAGGTCTGAATACAACTGTGATACCCTGGGCCTCCAGGGGATGCTGAATACAAACCTGGCACAACAATTCATTAATCTTTTTAGGTGCTTATTTTGCTCCCTCGAAATCACACCATAAACAACACACTTTACTTATATAAATAAAAACAAAAACCTATCTTTTCATCAATATTTAGTTGCTTAAAAGTATTGACAAAATATGACATCCTTTTTGATGCATTATTTATTTACCAATTATTCTTCGTCTTTGTTCTTGATAATCTAGGTTTTTCCCAATAAAGATAAGCAATTTTTAGATTAATAGAAATTTAGAAAATAACCATGAAATTAGTGTGTAGTTATAATAAAATACAAAAATACAATTTTTAGTTTAGAAAATAACAATCCTAGAAACTTTGATTTTTATGAGAAAGTTTGATCAATATTTAAAATGTTACAGGCCACAACTCATGCTTACATTCAATTCTTGCTCTCTGGTGAGAGAGTCTTATGAATCAAAGATTTTAGGAAATTCACATTTTTAAGTTTTAAATAACATGCATATTTGTATATAAAAATATGAAAAAAGGAGAATTTGAAATTAAATCTACAATTGTAATGTAAAATTGGCGGGATACAACAAATATTTTTTTATCATCATTTTTTCCCTGAGGTATATGGGGTGTTAAACCTGTAATTTGATCTTATAAACCGAATTACATGCACAAGAAAGGCAGAGAAACATATTTCCAAAAATTATCTACATTAGCGATTTTTTAATTTATTTATCATCTCAAACAGATCGTTAAAACACTCAGATACATGTCTAATATTTTTCGACCAAGTATCAGCAAAAAGTTTCGTTAAAATTTGTGAATCCATGTTTGTAGTCTCCTCTTGGAAGTTCTACTTGGACTATGCAGCCTTCTGTTCTTTCTTAAGAATTTTAATAATACGTAAACCACTGGAGATGTCAAATGCAAAACTGACAGATGAACTGAGCAAGTATAGGTGGACAAAAATTATCGGTAACAATCAAATTAAACATTTTTCAAATTAGCAGAGATTTTATTTAATATCATTATGAACATGAAATTATTAAACTCTTGTCTGCATTTTTTAAACTATTACGAGCCAGTTTTTTATTTCTTTACTGAAGTAATTGTCTAAGCACAAATAACATTCCTGGGTATTTTATATAAAATAAGTCGTTTAAATGTCAGATTTGAAATTAACAACTGTTCTATGGAGAAGAAAATTCTTTGACTGCATATTATTGTATAAATTATTACATTCCTTAACTGATTGCCCATAACTGCTTAACCAAATTAACTTTCATGTTCATCTTCTCATTCCAGAAGTCATATAACATTCTCCATTGATTGCCGTAGAACTTCCAGTGATGCCAAATTCAGTTTCATTTTTTATTACCAAGAACAACAAATTTGTTAAACTCGTTCAAAAATATAGATATATTTACTGTCAGTTTAAGTAATTTTAAGCAAATTTTATCATTAATATATTTAATTTATATTGATGATGATAATTAATAACTGATATATTTCAAATTGTTTCAATTCATTTTAACTTTTTTTAAATAAACATTTCTAAATTAATGTACAGTTATAAGCCTTATACTTTTATTACATAAATTTGTAATAGAATTCTATTATTTACTGATCCGTTATCATTCATGATTCCTGATGTTCTTTATAATCTGATTTCTGCTATAAAAAGCAAAATTGTTTCATTTTAATAGAAAATGAGATTTAAAATGAGCACAATCTTTTATCACAACAAATAAATAACATTCCTGCAAGGATTCTATAACAACAAAAAACTTTAGTTACCATATTTATAATTAGTCATCATTCTCAGCATTTTGTCTATTAAACTTTGACAAGAGATTAATCGTTCTTCTCATGATTTTTATCCTATTTGTGTGAGTCATTACACTTTACTTTAAGATAAGAAAAGAAGGCAAAAATAAGTTGTATTTTTGTTTGTTTGCTCTACTTCAGCAATTCTCTGCATATATTTGTATGATCTTTCTTACTTAACTTTTATAATCCATTATTTGTCGTTTTAATTCAATTAAGAGAATCCAAGCTATTTTATTTTTTGTGGCACATATTATCAATAAACATTATGTTAATGAGTTTTGTGGTATACCATGTAAGTAAAAGGTAATAAATAAATAAATATTAAATATATATATTTTTTTTAAATTTACTTCGACCAAGATAATAATTGACGATATTTTTGTAGAAACATTGTCCCAAAAAAACCATGTTTATATTGATAGAAATAAACATACTGAGAGTACTTATGATTATTTGTCGGATTCAATGTCATTATTTTCTGACCAAAATTACAAGAATAAAGAATTAACACACCAAAATTATAATTTTCAACAAAAAGTATTCATTCAAAATGAAGATGGAGTACCTTATTACGAAGAAAATTGGGATAAAAAGCACTCCAAGGATGAGGTTTTTAACAAATGGGTTAATGAAAACACAGACAAAGTTTCAAATGGTAAAAGTAAATTATTGTTGAATGAAGACAAAAAAAAAATTTTTAATTTTAATGAACAAGATTTGAACCTGGACAATCAAGAAATATACTTGTTCGAACCACTAAAGTCTAGGATTGGTTGTGAGAGAGTTGTTAAGAGATTAGACCCACAGACGACAACTCATCATGCTCCATTGGAAAATGTATCAACTCCAAGCATAAATAAACCGTTGGAGGAACAGGTGTCGGAAATGTTAACTATATTCTATGGCAAAGATGGAAAAGGAAATGTTTCAGAAAAGGATGATCGTCTATTTGTCGAAACTCTACTTCAACTCTTAGCAAATATTGTACAAAATGAAAATAAAATTTACGGTTGATTAAATAAATTTAAACATATTCCAGTTAACGTAAAGAAGCTTTATAGAAGAAGCTAGATAATAAAGAAGCTTTTATATTAAAGGATAATAAATTATTTTATCGAATTGATACAACCTAAATATATGGAAAAATTTAAAGATTTCAAATAAAATTAGTTTTCAAAGCCCTTACAGTGTAAATTGAACGCGCATTACTTGACTCCAAAGAGTGCGTGTAGAATGCCACTTGCATTTTTTAGTAATTGAGTCTCCTGTTCTGATTTTCAGAGGAAACATTGTTTTATAGTATGTAATACTGTTAGTTGTATATAATGTTTTGGTCCCCTAAGTGAATTGAGAGTGAATGTATAGAATGTATGTACAATGTATTTTCAGAGGAAACATTGTTTTATAGTATGTAATACTGTTAGTTGTACATAATGTTTTGGTCCCCTAAGTGAATAGAAAGTGAATGTATAGAATGAGGGCTAATAGCAGAATATTGAGTATCCAATGACCCTAAATTATTTTAGTCATATAATATGTGTGAAGGGTGATGGAGGAATATCGATACTCCACCAACCTGAGTGAATAGGAAAGAAGTGGGTCTGAATCTAGAAAATGATTGCATTGGGGGTTTAAATGACCTAGCTATTGATAGCCCCTGGAGACCAACTTCAGTGGCTGCACGGATAAAACCAAGACCTGGACTACAATATCTGGGGTGGGTGATTGTCGAGGCTGTATCAATAACTAATTAAATACATAATTCAACCAAAATTTCTTTATTTTCAACTGATTAACTAACAATAATAATACAACAAACAGTAAACTATACATAACGATAATAATAACAATAATAATAATATAAATATTTTAACAATTGACTTCCTATAAATAATGTCTTCTTTTCTTTTTTTTCTATAATTTATATGTTGATAAAAACTAAAAATTGCAAAGCTTTGAGTATAAATTAAACAAAGAAATAAAATAAACTGAATATTTAAAACGACTAGTTAGTTAATTGATGTTTCATTTGATGATCACATTTGATGATATTAATTAATTAGATAATTTTAGAGTGGTTGGAATGTTATTAAAATTGTAAAAAAGAAAATAAGAACTTGGAACGAGAAAATAAAGGATTTTTTTTTTACAGTTATGAAAAGAGTTCACATTACAACGTATACAAAATTTAAGTCACAAAAAGTGAGATCGTCTATATTCGACATGTTTTTTGGGCACGTATTAAGTAGCTTAAAAAAATAATTCGGTACAATTTGTACACTCACTTTATTTTTTAGTTTATTAGTTTATCAATTTTTTCTATCTTTCTTAAACTGTTTTTTTCTTAGTAATCTGAGTATTACAAACACACCTGAACAATGACAAACTGAATACTTTTGTCAATAACACAGGTCTTTTTTTATCAACAAATCTATACTATATAAACTAGCAAATTCACAGTTAAAAGTATTTGATTAGTTTTTTTAGACATTCATGTACAAATTAAAACTGTCTCTACTATGCAGACTTTTGAAAATATCCAGTTCAAATTTAACAATAACAACATATGCCTATGTTCCCAAAGAACATACGATGCAAAGATTTTAAAGTAGTTATATTTAAAATTGTAAAATGAGTTAGATTAAAAATGATAATATATTTTTATCTTTGTTTTTGTCTCTAGAGAAAGATTTTAAAAAAATTAGCACAACCACTGTTGCGTTTTCGATCTTGATAAGTTTTATAAAATAATAATGGGAAGAAGAAACAAATATATAAGTACAATGTGTAACTATGCAAACAATTCCACATTTCAGTAATGACTTAATAAAGAAAAAAAAACTGCATTCTACAAACACAGGTATGAATAAAAAAAAAAAAAAAATGCCCTTCTTTATCCTTTGATTAGTATAAAAATTCAAGCAAACGTCATAAGATTTTTAAAAAAATCCTCACCCTAACCAGGACTGTACTTACGATTATAGTTAAATTAATCGAACAATTACATTCCTCCTGGCTTTGGGATGTTAGTATTGTAAGCACGAATGACGTCCGACTGTGTAACTGCCCCACCTTCTTCTTGTGAGAAGGCGAATCCATCTACATTCAGGAGAAAGAATAGAAATAATACACATTGTAATTAATTAATATCATAAGCCAACATTAAAATAAAAGTGTATAGCAAGAGCAATTTTTGTTTTGCCCAATGATTATGGTATTATAATAACAGTGATACACTTCACACTATTTTAAACATAAATTGCAAATTGAATAGTACTTCTGAAAAACAAATTTAAATTTAATTTAAACTTTCTAATTATTTTTTTTTTTGTATTGTTAACTGGTAAATTCTGGAGCTAGATAATAAAAATCTAAAGGATAGCTTCTTTTTTTCATCAATAAATACCTTCATTATTATTGCATTATATGGGATAATTGAATATTCATATTGCTATGTCTCCTTCAAATTAGTATCTAATTAGATGATTGGTGTAGAAAGGAAAATGAGATGTTCTGTGGCCTAAAAATCTTTTATGTTTTGGGCTCACTGGTTCCTCCTCAGCACCAATTGGGTATCAATATAATGGGAATCTGTAACTATTGGCTGGGCTACAGCTCACTTCAGAATAAATGAAATATTTTTACAGCACAGAGCATTTGGTTTTCTTTTCTCCGCCAACCATTGAAATTTAACAGTACAGTAAAACCTCCATTATCCAGGGTCTGATTATACAGGAATACTATTATCCGGGCCCCAGGTGTCCATATACATATACTATGTATGCAGGTACATATTTAGCATAGCAACAATTAACTTCTGATTTGAAGAACACCATCATTTGTCTTTTTCCTATGAAACTCCCACCGGTCTACCTACATTGAACACATTCGTTATGGCCATCATTCTGGAATGAAGCACTAATCGTTTCCCATTTACAAATGTCATTCTAGAACATTGCACATCTTCTAGAAATCACCCGCCCACTTTCAAAGCAGGTTGTTGGGCCTTGGGTGTACTTTTGGAATTGAATCAGCATTACAGGCCTTTAGTGTCGCTTTGTCAACATTACTGTCAACCATATTTCGTTTCGGCCTTTTTAGAAGTTTTTACGAATGTTTGGAAAAAAATTACCAACATTTTTAGATTTGATACATATTAATAAAAGTAATATTCACTTTTTAATTAACACATTAAAAAATAAATACCATTATCTACTGTTTTTGATTTTCTGTGGACCCCCTCCCCATCATACCATCAGAATGGAGGTTTTACTATAATTGATTTTCTTAATTAAAATACTTATTTTTTTCTGAAAAAGAACATTTTATAAAGATTAAATGACAATCTGATATATTCATGCTTTTATTTTACAATTCAAATTTAACTTTGTGATATCCAGGTTATTTGACGTTACATCTTAAAAGTAATGAGATTAATCATTCCAAATTTATAAATTAAGAGAGTTGTTATTAATCGTTATTATTAAACATTAGACATCAGATCATTTCATGCAGAAAACTAAGACTTGTCACAATAATTGTGACGAGGCTTTCCTGACTTGGAAATATTAATAGGTGTTAAAAGTGGCGTAAGGTATTATTTAAGCATGATAAAAAACATAAACAAATAAAAAACAAACAAAAACAGTCAAACAGGAAAATACAGGACCCCTTTGGTGCAGAATTAGTTCTCGACATACAAATTAGAAAATTAACATCAAATATAAAAGTAAAAACTACCATATTGTTCACAAAACTTACAATCCAGTGACTGTATGCCATTTTCTGGAAAAAGGAGTATCAATATAGATCATTTTTGCATCTAAATCATCTATGAATATTTAACTGTAATTGGTGGCGATAAGATATTGTTACACATTTAATTTAACACAGGATGTTTTTTTGTTAAAACAGGTAGTTATAACATAAAAAATAGTTAAATTATAGCCTGAAATGAATAAAATTCAAACCAATAGAATGAAAAAACTGAAACAAAATAGGAAAAAATTATAGAGGCAATGGCTGCAACTGGTTAGGCGATAATATGGCGCTCCTCACTTTAAGGTAGTCTTAAGGGTAATCGTTAAAACTAAGATATTTTGCTGAACTATTTAAATTTTACATCAAACATCAATATTGGTCATACAGCTGTTTTTAACATTTGTACATTTTTAAGATGTAAATTTTGAATATTTAATAAATGTTTTAATAAATAAACAAAATGAAAACCAAAATTATCACTGAACGTGTGACATATTTTTGGGCTTTTTCATATTGGACAACAATATAGTTCAAAGGAAATTCCTAAATCCCCTAATATTAGCTTGTTTTCAATAATCTTTGCTTGTATAATTCTAATGTTTTCTTTTTTCTTCTAGCATATTAGCTGTGTGTGTATGAATAAAAGGGTCAGGGGTGAGTGGGAATCGAACCCACAACCATAACAATAAGGGGTAGAAGGGCAAAGGGTTATCACTCTAACCATTCAGGTACTACGGTCCCGTCATTTCCCACTGGTTTTAAGGCTGTGCTTAAAAAAAGTGTGCAAATCCTTACTAGGATACTAGACTACTTCCCTCTACTTTAAGTGTATCATCATAGTAATCATTACAACTATCTGTTATGTACAGACTTTCTAAAAATTTATACAGTTTTATAAACATAAAAACAATTAGGATATTGATACTTATTTACACTAGACTGCCAAGCATATAAACTATTTTGATCCCTTTTATTCTAATCATATTCCATCAGAGCAAATATACAACTGTTTATAGCAATTTATACAATAAAAAACCAGCCGTCAGATAAGTACGCATAATAGTTTGTAACTTAATTCTAGTTTTGAATAATGAATACATTTTGTGAAAATGTGCACCCTTCAAACTCTAAAGATAATTTTATCATTTAAATGTTAATTAAAAAAATTTAAAGTATAAAAATCCTCAATTTTTGTTTTAACCAAATTGCATTAAGTATCTACAGTGATTTACAAAGGACGACATATTATATACAAACTGAATATTTTAGATCTGACTCACAATGTACAAGGTGCCAAAAAGAAAATGTGAGTTGTCAAATCAATCAGTGCTATCAAAACAGACAAACCTTTTTTTTTACAATCTTTTCTGGATCTTATCCATTTTATTTTATTTCTTTACATATTTTAATTCAGGATATGCCAATTAATTTAAAAATTCCCAATGATCTAGAATAATATCGCAGTTGCAATAAGTTAATTGTGAATATATAAAATATTACAAAAATCAAACAGAATTTTTCATTTTTCTTCTGTTAACTGCTACTTTTGCCAAAATGTGTTATACAATTAACTTGTAAACACACTGTTGAAATATTGACCAAAAAGTAGCAGGGCACAGCAATGAGATTGTGACATCACATTAATTATACAAAACAGAAACTTACGTGATAATTCAACTTCTGTATTTCGCCTCTGTGCAGTCGATCTTAAGTGAAAAACGCTCCTGACCCCTTTGAGGAGTCTCGCCGTTTCAGTCATCCTGAATTAATTACAACCCAATACTCTTATTATGTACAGATAAGTAGGAACATTTTAAACTGTATATGAGTTATTTTCCGCCGATTTCAATCAAAGTAAAATAAAGATAAATATTAGAGGTATTAAAAAAGAAATAAAGAGAGAAATGCATGCCCAACCAAGTCAGGAAAAGCTGTGCTTGTGTACTGAGATAAAGCAGGCATGACAAACTTTTGAGTACCGTCTGAATTTGTACTTACACGACATTACCAGTTGTCCAATGGCGTGTATACTTCTAAACACAATGAATTGTACATTTTTTAGAAGTTAATTAAAACCTGCTTTAGTTTACTTAAAAAATAAAATTAAAAAAATAATAAATGCATTTTGCGTTGAGGGAATGTGGTTATATATGTTTGTGCTATATGCTTTAAAACGAAATAAATGTTTCATTATTTTTTAAACTTTGATTAAAAAAAAGGAATATTGTGTTTGATGAAATGACTTTGAATGTAGATTTTACAAAAGTCATGCACTTTTTAACATTTCTAATAAGGTTAAATACTGGAAATTGGTGAAAAAGCATGCAATCAATTTAAAAAATTATATTTTAACAAAATGATAAAATAACAATTTTGGTTTAAAAAAAGTTTATGTAAGTCTTTATATGCACCATTCAGAATGGTAGATCTTATAACAGATGATAATTATAATGTGGCTTTGGTAACGCAAGAACTACAAATTTTTGTAAATAGTCCTTTCAAAGAATATCTAATTGAATATCCAAGCATTTCCTTGAGTAAATCCTGTGGAAAAACTTATTATGTATCAGTAGAACAATTCAATTTTAAATATTAAATTCAATTTTATATAAAGACTTACTGATTAAGCATTAATGGACTATTATCTTTTACTTGTGGATAGCTAAAAATTAAAAAAATCCTAATAACTATTAGAGGGTAGAATTAGGATTTTAGAGATTACTAAATTTAATTTGATATACTTCTGTAGACTTTGTTGTTTTATCTGTATGGATTAAAGTTTATGGTAAACTTTTTCATGTCCTGCGAAACAATTAAACAGAGTGCAAGCTCAAAAGTTATTAGGGCTAAGGAAATAATAAAACTTTAGCTGAAAACAAATTAATTAAAGTCTATTTAAAATTAGATTTTTGACAATCAAAGGTTATCATCAGAAAGTTAATATTTTTCACTTTAAATCCATTATGTTTAGTGGTCTGATTGACTAAATTACATATTTCAATTAATTATTTTTTTATGTAAGATCTTGGTTGAAATGATAAAGTTAGTGCCACAAGCAGGATTTGAACCCACGACCTTCGGCTCAATAGGCCGCTGCTTCTAACCCCTTGAACCCCCATCATGACCCATCATGACATCGATCCCCTCAGATACCAACTTCTCATCTCAACCTACAATAATTTGAATTTTCCCTTTTTTGCCACATTATTAAGCCAAAAGGTCGTGGGTTCGAATCCCGCTCGTAACACTAATTTTTCAACTCAACCAAAAACCTTAGATAATTTTTTTTAAAAACATATTTTCCATCTTCTTAACATCATCAAACTTGTTGAATTTTTTAAAAGAATAATAGCGACTAGATGCTTCAACTTTCCTAATCATTCTGGTTTTTATTCTTTTTATCTATCAGAAACTTTTCAGCATTTCAACAACAAACAAGAATAAAGTACCAAAAAATTACTAAATCTTTGAAATGATCATCCTACTTAACTCTTTTGTTTATATTACACTGATTAATTTATTACTAGATTATAAATTGCAACAAGAATGTCAATGGGATTTTTATTCTAAAACTCTAGTGAGAAATTGTCAACTAAATAAATTTGCATAGTATCATAATGTATTGTTACACCAACCTTGTTCATATCACTCTTCAGTGATCATGATAGTTATTATTCGAGTTTAAACAAAATATCAAACGCAATTTAAGCTTTAAATCAATGTAAGATTAACCTCCTCACTTTTTTATTTCAAATTTAGACCCAAAACCAGTAACGTAGCAAATATGAGAATTGGATGACCTTAGAAATTAGCCTCTGCAACTATTTAATACTTAACATGTAAAATAAATTAACTCTTTAAAAAATTATCTCCCCACATTTTTAATGTTTTATTTTCCAATAAAAACATAAGCAGAAATTCGTTACTTTTTATTAAAATGAATTCAGTATTATATTTACAGTTATGTTCATAATATATACAGGAATTAAATGGCACTAAGGGCAATATACTTTTCTTTCTGCCAAGTTTTGTATGTACTGGGAAAAATTCTTATCTTGTTACTTTTAATCAGGTTCTTGAATTGTGTAGCCCGAACGCTTTGGTTTTCTCTGTCTACTCTTTAAACAACTAAACAAAAAAACAATATAATATTATTCATATATCAAGAATAGAGTTTGAATGGTATAAGAATATAATGTATGGTACGTATCTTAAATTCTTTTAAAGGCCTACCGACAAAAACATTTTTGTTTAATAATCAGTAACTTTACTTCAATTTTTTCTTACTCGCTATTAGTTTTGAAAATTGAATGTAAAGTTATTTCCTTTAAAATAATAACCATCTTTGTATTTCAATGTATCAACTCGTTGAACTATCAAATTCATAAAGTGTCTAAGATCAGTCTTAATTGCCCACATAATCATCATCAATATCATAAGCACCATCATCTCAAGGACAATTATGTTTTAAAAAAATGCACAAATTTTTTGGGTTTTTTCAGGGATAAGGGAACATTTAAAAAAATTCACTTTCTAATTTCAAAGATCGCTTCCTAATTTCTTAAATTTCTTACAAATACGTATTAATTTTTCAAAACTTTTTACCGTCAAAATTCAGTTCTTCTTCTCAACCGGGTAGAGAAAATCCAGGCCATGGGCCAGACTAGTATTTCGAAGATAGAATTCTATCTTGTTCTTGTTCAACTTCTGTTGAAGTGAATTTTCAATGTAAAAAAAATATATATATATAAAGTAATTTCTCAGATTATTGTCAATAACCTTTGAATTTGTCTTGATCTTCTGACACCTTCTTGTAGAGTTGAATAAGATCTACTTTTAAGGCTCATATGTTCTTATTTATTTCTTTGACATCCTAGATCTAGTGGGGCTTGTTTGTGCACCAGTTTTAGATGAGGGTGATCTAAAAGGGCTTCTGTTTGGGCTAACGGAGGGGCTTTTCTTAGATCGGGAAGCCATTGACACATTGGGATGATTATTTTTTGATTTTAGTGGGTTGGAAGAACTGGGATTTTTGTAATCAGTTATTAGTAAATTTAAATGAGCTGTCATTCTTGGATCTTCTCTTAGCATCTTATGCTTAAAAACAAATTCAGGGTGTGCATCACCACTTGGAGGATCGGCTCCCTGTGTCGTGGGTGGGCTATTAACAGAAAATGTTGAAATTATCTGATGATCCTCTTTGATAGTCTTACTGACTGAAGCTAAGTTTTCTTTTATTATTTTTATTAAAACAGTTCTTTTTATATGGTTTGATCCTCTTAAATATAATTTTAATCTTTTTGAAAATTTTAGAACACACTTGTTTACCAACACATCAACCCTCATCAAAACAACTTAACTATCACAAATTTAACATAGTATACTCTCATGCTATACTCAAAATATACCATTAACATAATAGTAAAATGATTTTTGAACATGAAATTATACTTTGTATGGAAAAATTAAAAAAACTTTAGCTTTTACAAACTCAAAAATAAGCAACAATTGAGAATATAACAAATTTTGTATGTTATTATTAGCAGCATTCATATAAAATGTATGTATTGTAATTCATTGTCAATTCATATCTTTGTTGAAACATTTTTACAAAAATCAAAACTAAAATTGAAATCAGCGTATTATTTTATTGCAAATTACAACATGCACATCTTTGCTTTCAGTTTGAAAACTCAGGACAAAAAGCAGATGAGGCAATTTGAGAAGAATTGAAGTGAAACAACTGAAAAGCAAAGGTTATAGTAAGCAACCGAAAATAGTATGAAACGAGTGAATATGTGTACAACAGAAAATTTGGGTTGCATACTTTTATTGGATAAAAAAAAAACCTTGCCCACCAAACTCCTCCTACATGGAACAATTTCTTTTTTATTTTAAACCTCTGAAATTTATAATCTAAAAATTCTCCAAGATTATCGAGTGACGTATTCAATTTTTTGAAATTGTTAGACCGATATTTAATCCTGATAATTCTTCCTTTTCAAACTGTTACAGTTGCATTTTAAATTTCTCAAAAGTTGCTTCTAGGTTATTAAATTTTGAAAAGAATGTAATAATTTTTGGTTCAAAAGAACAAAAGAACCAAAATATTTTAATTTCATATCCAAAAATGTTAACAAAAAAGAAAAAAACCTTTCCTAAAGCCATGCCAAAGGAAGATAACCAAGCCAAATCCATTATTTTATATGGATGTGAAAGGATGTGAACAATTAAAACTTGGTAAAAGATAATTAAAAGAGTTTAACTACTTACGCAGATTGTTTTCCTTCTTGCAATAGATTTTTTGGGTCTTTATTTTTTATTTCTTGCTCTCTAACAGCCTCTTTAAGGGTCTTGAAAAGAGTTCTTTGGATTCTAAAATTATTTCGAAACATTTAGGAATGTACATTTTTTATCAATTGTTTTTGTTTTTAAATGATGATTACTTACACAATAATAGCAATATCAGGAAGAAGTGTTACCATTGGGATAATAATCAAGCCTAACCAAAAAGGAATTGCTGTAAAGAGCATTATGTCCATGCCGGACATTATGGCTCCAATAGGCAATGTTGGCCACACATGACTAAAAAAAATATTTATGTTAAGAGAATACAATTTTAGGGATATGATAAAATTTAAAATACCTGTAAGCAATTACGAACATGAACCATGCAGCAATTGAACCCCAGATTGCAAGATGTGTGATAACTGTCCAGAAGTTCATATGCAGGCCAGCTTTTAAACAAACAACCACCACTACATACTGCAAATAAAATGTTGCCTTTATACCCATAAACATTTTACAAAAATTAAAAACTTACCGTGTACACAAAGTTTCCTAGTACTAGGTATCCACCCTCCCTTCCATTCGGCCAAACTGTGTCTTGTTGAAGCATCCACATCGGCAGCCAGAACAATATTATACTATGTACTAAAGCGTTTCCAATCCATATCCAGAATGTCAATACACCAAAGTTTGGCCTGTGACTGTATAATTTTGGATAACGAAGCATAACATCAGCTGAACACACTTTGTCAAATAATCCAATCGCAAAAGGAGGGAAAGCTGTGAAAATCTAAATATATTTTGCAATTTGTTTATAATAGAATAAAAATAATTAATTTAAAAAATAATTATTGTAGTATTTTGAATGATACATACAACATTGTACATTCCTATGGACCATCTTTCGAACAAAATTTGCCCAGACCAGCCAGAATATATTGCAAACCAAAGCTCCATTACATAAAGGCAAATATTTTTGTAAAAACTGTATAAAATTATTTTAATCATTCTGTTATAATTCCAGGATCCATGGACGAATAGCAGTTTTATAAGAAATCTGAACTGAAAAGGATTAATACATTTTTTTCAATAAATAAATAAAATAATAAAAGGACATAGTACAGGGAGGATTGAAAGATTGAAGATGGTGTGTAGGCAACAACAAACCCACTAAAAAGGCTCTACACCTTATGCATAAAATAAAGTGGTAGGCAAATTGTTCAAATTTGCTAAATTTTTCATGCCTGGTGCTGACTTATCATATTTTATTTTATTCTAAACAGGAAAAAATCCTTGAAATAAAGTGTATATAAAAGTAGCTCAAGGAGGTATCTCAAAAGGATATGAATCATTGTATCCCTTATGGAGATTTAAAGGCATACAAGAAACAAATAAAAAATGATTACGTTTTTTTATGGATTTATTTTGTTAATGTTAGCCAAAACTCATATTCAATGTACTGTATTTTTCCTCATTGTTATGAAAGGGAACATGGGAAGGAAAAAAAAACCCAGGGGTGTTAGTTAATGGGAATTAAACCCACGACTACAAGCTGAGAGTTCTCATGCTGATCACTCTGTTACCACGGGTCCTCTAGGAGTAGAGTTTGAATAAGGAAATCTTTAATTTGCAAATGATGATTATAGGAAATAGTGCTAAATTATCTGTCAACCATGTGGTGAACAGTTCAATAGTTGCCACATTTAAATTGATTTATAATTTTTAAGTAAAGTGTGGTTAAAATATTAGTGACACAAGGAGACTTGAACCCATGACCTCCGGCTATATACCCTGGTGCTCTAACCACTTGAGCTGCTGTGACTTCGGTCCGCTGGGACACCAACCCCCTCAATCTACAACTTTTTCAAGTTTCCTTCTTTTTGGCATACTTTCTAATATCATGCAAACATCAAATAAAAATCCACTCCATGTGTTGCCGAGAATCGAATATGATTACACCAATTTTTTCCTTAAACTTAAAAATTACAATAACGTACTTGTGCAATAGAATAGTCGGATGCGCAAGCTGCTTGAAGGCCTTCCTGGCCAGATATGCCAATCCCGACGTGTGCTTTTTGTATCATGGCTACATCATTGGCACCATCACCTATTGCTAGCGTTACACCTTTTGTATTGCTTGTTATCAATCCCACAACCTGAAAATGTCCACTGAGTTTAGTGATGAACAAATACAAATTTAAAAAAAAAAAAAATCACCTCAGCTTTTTGCATAGGCGAGACCCTGCAGCATATCACAGACCTACAAGCTAAACACATTTTAAGGAAATCTCCTCTCAGTTCAGGTAACAAAGCATATTTTAAAGAGAGCCCATCTATAATAAGTGCAAACTGACCCGCAGTGTCTAATGTATTTAAATTATGAAGAATACATTCTCTCACCATCTAATTATTAACAGAAAAAATTTATTTAATATTATAATTTCTCAGTCAAGTAAATTATAAAACATACTTCAAGAGAAGTTTCATTTATTATTATTAGGGGTTGGCCTTGTTGCAATAATTTACTAGAGTACCCAATGTTTATAGCAGTCTCTTGTTTATCTCCTGTTAATACCCAAAGATTAATTCCAGCTTTAATAATTGCAGCAATGGTTTCTGGAACCTGCAATAAGTGATCGATTAAATTTCAATTATAAGTTTAATCAAGAGATATTTGACCTTATCTTGAAGTCTGTCTTCAACTGCAGTAGCCCCAAGAAGTATTAATTTTTTTTCTATTAACTCACCGGCCTCTTCTAGTTTTAATTCCCTGTTTTGTACTGCAATTGAGGCTTCATAGTAAATTTTATTCCAGTTCTAAAAATATAACAGTTACAAAGTCATATTCTACAATATACTGGAAATAATCTTACTTCGTATTCTTCATTTGAAAGCTCTGCCATGGCAAAGCACAGAGTCCTTAGACCTTCATTGGCAAAAGCCTCTAAATGTTTAAGCGTTTCTTTTGTATATTGCTGTCCACTTTGAGCTAACCTGTCATAAATAACTGAATCCGCTCCCTACACAAATTTCAAATGTGTGAAGTAAACATTTACAAAACAAAAAGTGAATTTGTAACAAAATTACTTTGCAGAACAATATTATTTTTCCTGAAGGCGTCTTAGTTATAACTGACATTCTTTTCCTAGCACTGGTAAATTCAATTACTTGTAAAATTTCATATGTCTCCCTCTTTCCCATAGCTATTATTTCAACTGAATTCGGCAATCTTGTATCAAAGGCGAAACCATAATTTCTAGCCCCTTGAAGAAGTGCACTTTCATCTGTATAAACAACATGAAAATATGATGCAAAATGACAAGATTTTTTTTGGTAATAATTATTACCTGGAGAAGATGCATGGTACAAAACTTCACCAGAGGGTGTTTTCTCAGGAATGACTGTATGGCAAATTGACATCAGAGTTAAGAAATCTCTTGCTGTACTTTGTTGATTTATGCTCTGTGGATGTAATTTGTACTTATTATATTTATATATTATATTTATACTAATTAGAAAATAAGAAGATAATAGTTCTGACGATAGGTTGTTAGAATGTATAGGGATGAATAAAAAAAACAATATCTGTACAATCACCAGAGTTTTGGATTGCAAAAATTTTCTTTTGTTTAATCGGAAAATTGTCTAATTAATTTATTCATTTTATCTTGTTTTGTTTTATTATTTTGCATGCAATCAATTTATTTGGAGATCATTTATTTTTATTTAAACTTTTTAATAGAAGAAATTTGTTTAATTTTTTTTGTATTCTACCCATTTTTTGGGGGGAATAAAATTTGAGACAACCTGAAGGGCCTTAACCCCGTAACGTCTTGGCCACTTAAGCTAGTACTGGTTTGATGTTGTATTTAAAGAAATTATTTTAAAATATGGGAATTCTGTTCTAAATTGAATAGGTAATAGTAATACTGAATAGGTACACTCAACAGGTCAGTTGTGTGTGAAGGTGTTTTGAAATATTGGCAGGGTATACACAAAACAATTGAGGCTGATCTAATAAAAATCACTCATCAACTGTCAAAAATTAAGGATGTTTGTCAGGCAAATGACCAATTACACATATTGGGAAAGTGAAAAGTGCCAAGTACACAATGGAAAAAATGCTCTTCATTTATTTCTTCTAAAAGGTTAGTGTGATAAAAATAATAGACAGAGAGTAACTGACTATTAGGGGAAAAATATAACCTATGAGCATATGATGAAGTAACGAATTAATAGATTTGTTTCAAGATAACCAGCAAAGCTAAAAAATTACATTGGAACAGGTTTTTTCTGTAAAAAAACAGAGGAGTTGAATCATGAATTAAGTAGCTAATTTCTTACTCACCTTATAATTACAGGTTATGGTTTGTTAAATTAATGCTTATTTTTAAACCACATTAAATGCAAACCGTCTATAAATAATAGACAATATATTTTGTTGCGAGAATAGATTTTTAAGGATCATTTGTTGTTACATTTTTACTGTAACATAAGGCTTTTATTCCTTAACAAATAGGAGCTAGGAAGGATAAGAGCAGAGAAGGTGATTTTATTTTATTAAGCCTCAGACGCAATTTTATCCATCAAACTCACCTTTTCTGCCTTCTCATCAGGCTGATGGTTCGGCATTTCTGTTATAGTCTGAAAACAAAAAATAGTGCTTGTACAACTGTGTTGGTTGTTTTGGATTTTTTTTTCTTTTTGAATGTTCATTTGTACCCTTCTTCATTAATTGTAACTGATTCTAAATTAGTTTACATTAAACTCAAAGGGTGCGTACAGAAATGGCAACCAATGCCAATAGCTTCACCACAAACTTACCAAACGCAGTTCCAAAATGCTGATTAGTTTATGAGAAACGAAGTCACCGATGACCTCATTCAGTCAGGTGATCATTGGTAATAATTATTGTATTATTTTACTTTTTATATTTTAACCGGAAGCCACTAGCCAGTAAGATATTATTAGTCAATGGCTTGAAATCTGTAAACCAATTATTGTTTAAATAATTGACAAAAAATTTAATTTTTTGGATGAATTATATTATAATTTAGAAAGTACAAATAAAAAAGTTCCATAATTTTAAACTAAGCCCTATCCCTGGGTAAAGATTTCGGTTTTATTAACTTTATGAATTGCTAACCATTTCTGAACGCACCCAAGAGTAGTTAAATAATCACAAAATACTATCACATTATAAATTTCTTATGCCAGAATATTATTATACTAAATATAAATATTAGAATGACCTATGTAATATTTAGTTTTTAAAAGTTAAAGAAAAAATATATAATTTTTTATACTGGTTCAGCCAATTGAATTTAATTGATACATTATGTTCAGTATAATGATAAGACAAATAAGATCTCAATATCTTAGGCCAAAAAATAAGATTTGTCTGTAATGTAGGAAATGTAATAAAACATATAATAATAATAAAATATTAACAAGGGCCCATCTGGAAAATTTTGATTTTTGTTTACCTTAATAAGAGGATGAGATTTTGGGTTTTCATTTTTACCCACAGCATCATAAATGACACCAGCCACCGAGCATTTCTTGAACTCCATTATATTTTGAGTTAAAGTACCAGTTTTATCGGAAAATATGTACTTAACCTTAAAACCATTCGATTGAAATATTAGATTTATCTGTATTTCTATGTATATAAAAATATGCTTTACCATTCCTAATTCTTCGTTTAAATTTGATGTCCGAGCCATTGCAGGAGTGTCTGATTCTAAATGATACATGTCTAAGTCCATATTTATAAAGACTGCCTAAAAGAGGTGTAATCACTAATAGGTTTTTAATTGGCAATGCTTTTGTATTACCTGGACAAATCTAACAATTTCTAATGTCACTTGAAGTGAAATTGGAATAAGATTGTTGTACAAAATGAGAAAGGTTAAAAGGTTGAAGGCGAAGTTCTTTCCCAAATCTGTTTATGATAAAAATTTTTTTTTTAATTGTGTTTCAGACATAAATATTAAAAAATATTTATTTACCTTTAATTCCGAGATACCAGTAGGCCGAATTGTTTTGTCTTGTCCATAGTTCATTGTAAAGGGATGATATCACACACAAAAATATAAGTAAGAAGAACAACATAACTACTTGGGTATTTGTTATTTTATCGACAGTTGATCTTTTAAGAGGTACCCTTGATGAATTCACCATCAGTTTGGTCTGGGCACCAGTGTAAATTACTGCTCCAAATATCCAGCTAGTATTCCTTAACATTGCTCCACGAAGAAGAATTTTTTCAGGACCCAGTGGTAACGTACTACATCAAATATTGAATTATTAAGAATATAATTGATTTCGAATAATGGACTTACCGCTCTCCTTCGATTGTGATGTTTCCAACAAACTCATAAATCATCTTGTTGGGTTTTTCACACTCTATAGTTGCTGACAGTTGTGAAAGCATTTGGCTGTTCAAGTATGTTGATGTTATTGGTAAAGCTTGTCTTATTTTAAGATTTGTTTCCCCATCTAAATTCATTGTTTCTATGTAGCACATACCTTGTGGCTCACTATAAAATGACAAAACATTCTTATTTTTTTATTTTTTTACACACATTATTTTTTACCTTGTAGATATGACTAGAAGATCTGCAGGGAAAAAGCAGTTGTTATTCACCTTGATGATATTCCCGACTTCAACATTTTGCCATTGTACCTTAACCCATTTGCCATCTATTAAAACTTCAACTAATCTGTTATTGGTTTCATCATCAGCTTTATGCCTTTTCTATAAAATAGAAAAAAACAAAAGCAAATTTATGTGTAAACTGCTTAGTATAAAACAGTACAATATTTTACAGAAGGGTGATTAAACAACTCACATAATCTTCTATTATCTCTTTGAGCGCAGAAACGCACAGTATGAAAATAAGTGGTACCAGAGTCGTGAACCTTCCCGTAGGAGATACATCTGGGATTTGCTGTGGACAATATTACAAAAATTATAAACAGAATTGAAATCTTAAGACGCTAGAAGAAACACTGCATTACCTGAAGGCAGGCGATGAGGAGGAAAAAGCAATTCGAATACCTTCGGAATTGTTCAAAAAGAAACGAAGCGATAAAGTTGTACTTGTTGTACTTTGCAGTGGTAATCCTATTGGTTACGAACTTGTCAGTTTGAGGCTTGTTGATAAATACAACCCTTGAGCCCGGGCTGCGTTGTGCTTCTGAATTTTCTACCAAATTTCCGCGATCACCATCAACTAAAAAGATAATTGACAATAACCACCAGCGAGCATTAAATTAAAATAAATACATAAGTAAAATTAAAAAACCAGGCCGTGTGATCATTGCTGATTCTCCTAGTGCACATTAAATATGTCTGCACACATTCTCGTTCGGAATATGTAGAATTTTACATTGAACGGTACACGAGTAGAGTCGATTTTGTTGGTAATAATAAAAAATTGATGGGAACGTAAGTTTTAGAATTAATAAATTAACTTTTTTATAAATGAAAATTAGCTCCACACATTAAGGATGATCACCACTTACTTCTTCACTAATTGCAACAAAATTTTTAGAATTTATTGCATAAATTTAATCTAACAGAGAAATGGTTGTTTATTATTTTCAAAAAGAACCTTAGAATATTGAAAATAATCAATATATTCATGCAGTACAACAATTTAAATATAAATGTTGATGATTAAGTGAAATTATAAAGTTAAAAACAGTATGAAGGATAGATATTTTTTCTTCTTTAAATTGATTTACTATTTTGAATTCAACCTTAAGCAATCTAAGATGAAGAAAAACCTACTACATGCGATCCAGCCCTTAAAAGAAAAATCAACGAGATATAAAATGATCTAAGTTTAACTTCTAAGTTAAAAAGTTAAATGATCTACTTAAGTTTCTAATAGTCTATTAATAAATCTAGTCTATTAATAAATAAGTTGAAATAATCTAAGTTCTAAACCTAGGAGATATTAGCTGAAGAAATATATTCATGATTTTGTAAAAAGAAGGAAATTTTATAACTGTACGGGAGGGTCTGTTGAGTTTAACTTGCACTACTTATTGTAATATTATTTTATCAAATACCGAGCATGTACATCTGTAGTTAAATGATTTCTGTAATTCTAACAGAGATTATTATTGATGGGCCAGACATACATGTCAAAAAATAAACACATAGAAAACAAAGTTTCACTGCCTGCAAACAAAGCAACAAAGAGTTAAAATATAAGTAATGCCCTAAAATCACATTAGATGAATAGTTAGAATAAAACAAACATATTGGCAAATTATTAAAAAAAAAAAAGTAAAATGAAATAGTTGTAAGAAAAAGCTAATAAAAACACACAAAAATATATGTAAAAATATGTACAGTTAGCAAGTCTTCATACACCACAATCTACTTTCTAATTTAATTATGAACATATATGTGTACTATTTAAAGTTTTTATTTTTCCTATATTAAGATCTTTAGAGGATAAAATCACCCTTGAAATATCGTTTCAGAATTGAAAAGGATTATGTAATAAATATATACTCAAGATATACTAAACATCTGCCTCTTGTTTGTTACTCCTAGTAAGTCTACATTCACTTGGATTTAATCCTCTAAATGCAAACAAATTTTTTATTTTATTGTATATTTTCAAATTTAATCAGTACTGCTTATACATTAACTTGAAAGGTGAAACGCTAGTTCAACTCAACACAATGGAAATTTGCCAATATATAAGAAAGTTATAGATTTATCCATTTTTTCTTAAATATTTGTTCATGTAATCAGTGGTCAGGTTTGTTAAAAACATGGTACTGTAACAACAAACTCTCTTGCATATATTGAATGTTTCAGGACTCACACTTCCCCTCCTCTCTTCAGCTATAACATTTGTCACCCTAGAAGCATGTGTATATGTGTAGGTCTGAATACCGAAATATATTTGATATATGCAAGAAAGCTGGTTGTTATTGTTCTATTTTTTTTTTTTTTAACAAACCTGACCACTGATTAATGCTCCTAAAATAGCTGCTAATTTACTACAAGAATGCAACATTGATGTAACACCTTAAACTGTACGTAATACATAAAAAATAATTTCTGACCACAAAAAATCACATAACCGCAAAGTAAACCAAGTTAAGCGATTGGAATTTGCACAAAAAAAAAAAAAAACCCTTTATTGGCTTTCTACCTTTGGGGACTAAGTTATTTTCACTAATAAATGTAAATTCAATACTTTTAATCCTGATGGCAATGTTAGAGTGAGGAGGAGAAAAGCCGAGGCCATGAAATTAAAGAACTTATAACTGACATTTAAGTACCGAGGAGAAGGATCATCATTTATGGTTCTATGGCTGCAATTGGAGTAGGCAACTAAAGATAATTAAAAGAATAATGTATTAATAGATGTATATTCTGAAAAAAGTATATATAAAAAAATTAATTAATAAATAAAATCTGTGACCAAGTACAATCAAGTTAAACTTAAGAAGAATTTTATTTTTCACCAGGATACCTATCCTAAACATCGTCCCAAAAGTGCCCAGAAATGGTTGCTGTACAACTAATTGACAATTAAAAACATCACTGTATTAGTCAGATTTTAACCCAATAGAGCACATCTGGCAGGAAGTTAAAAAGAAGCTAAAACAGCGTGACATAAAAATATAAATGCCAACTTTCTGAGGCTAGTATGGAGGTGTAGGGAAAAACAAATTGTAGGTTTACCAAAAAAATAGCAGTATGAGCAATCGTTTGAAAAAACCAATAAAAAATAAAGAGGTCCTAAAGATCCTTAGATTTGTTTAGTTAATAAATTAAGTTTGTTTGTTATTGGTTATTTTCTACATATGCGTCCTTTTTTTCAAACGTTTTGTTACTTTTTTTAATATTAAATTTTCACGTATGGATAAAGTGGTTAAAAAAAACTTCAAAATACATCAAATTAAATATAAAGGCCTATATTTAAATAAATTAATTGTTTTAAAAAGTATTTTTCCATTTGTTTTTAACCCCCTTTTGTGTCATTATTAATGAGTGTATGTAGGCTTTTTTTACTAACTGTACATAGCAACAACTGTGAACGGCTTATTGCTGATTCATAGGTCTTATAAAATATAGAATTGAAGTTAAAGGAATATGATCAAAGGGTTTATAGAAGTTGAGCTTCTACACTGTCACATTCTTGTCAAAAAAGTTGGATAAAAATGCATTTCACCCACGACCTTACCCCCTGGAGTATTTTTATATATACTTTTTTTGGAATAGAACAGTATATATCTAATGAGATTTCATTTATTACTGGTTTGTTTATAATTTAGATACAATCTAGATTTTACTTAGATACTACCCAGTGAAAGGAGGCATACGTTTAAGTTGCTTATACTAGTATCATATTTTAAGATGAATCGATTTGGCAAAATAGGTGAATTTGATTCAAATATTCAACTTTTTCATTAGTTTTACACAATGCTGGTCATATAAATGTATCAATTACAACAATATTAGTAAGACATCTGTTGATATACCTGATCTAAATCTGGACAGAGATGGAAATAGATTTTCTAACCATTCCATTTTTCTGTGAGAGACGATTATGTGGTATATGTCACAATTAATTCCTGTGTTAAAGCATCTGTATTCTTTAAACCTTTTACTTGGGAGAGATTACTCATTCTCAATCACAAATAACACAAGAACAGAGGTTATTCTATGGTTTTACGCATCACATAACAGTAAGGTTATCCACAGTGGATAAGCCACTTATGGCCCTTCTTACGGCCATATATGAGAATATTCAAAAAACAAGCTTATATCTTTTTTCAAAATAATTAGTCATTTAAAAATTAAGCCATTTTCGAGATAAGGGGATGATTGCTGAATTGTTCAAGATTGTTGAAAAACAAGGGGCGTTGTTTAATGTTTATCGTAAATAATTGTGGCAATATTTGTACTATTTAAATCGATATGGAGAAAGGGACAAATAAAAACGTTTTTTATCTCCAAGGACGTTTATTACTCATCAGATATATATCACTTTCTGCTAAATTAATTATTTTTACTAATTTTAAAACTTTTATTCCAATTTGCATCAACGATCTAAAAGATTTGGGTTTCTAAAATTGTTACATATATTTACATGTATATAATTATTAAAAAAGCTCTATCAGTAAAAACAAAGTACATATGCAACTAAAGGCTAATAAGTATAATTTAAGAAAAACAGTTCAGCCTATTCCCATTCGTTGATCAAAACCAAAGGAAACTCATATCAATTTTATTGGAACTCTTGAGATAGGACATCCAGATAGCATGAGATATCCTGAGACATATTGTACTACTAACATAATGTATTATCATATGAGGGGGTTTTTGCATTTTTGATTAAAAGTTTTTAAAAAGAAAAGTGTAGTTTAATTTATAATATAACAAAACATAGCAAAATTTTTGTGGCAATATATATATACCATACAGTACACAGTGATTGATTGATAATAAAGCAATAAAATGAAATAATTAATTAATAATTAAATAAATAATTTGTTGTGCATAAGAACACTAACACAAACCTGAAATGTGCATTATATTAATAACATTATAACGAATTAGTTAAAATTTAAAAAGTAATTTTTGTCAATTTAATGATTTTGAAAATTTGACCAAAACAGTAATAATTGTGGGAGCCAATTTAAAATAACTTTTAACTGGAATTGGTACACAATTAAACAGCCCCACACCAGGTAAACAAACCAAAGTAGTAGTGCGAGCTTTTTGTATTTTTTTAATGTCAAATTTTGTTGAGAACCACTGGGTAACTTAAAAAAGCTCAAATTAAGTTTATCAGCACTTTTTGGACCAGGAAAGTTACAAAAAAATATTAGACTGTAAAAAATTGTAAACCAAATAATTTATTAGATTTAGTAACAGTTTATTAAATAAAAAATTTTCCAGTTTGACTTTTGATATGAAAAAATATGCAATGAAGCATTTTAATTATTTATCAATTTAGCTAATATCGTTTGTTCCATTTTACAGGAATAAATTCAAACAAATTTTGAATGTTCATTCACTTTTCTCATTATTTGATAAGTTTGTATTTTTTGTTTTGGGCATGCTTTTAAAAAGAAAAAAATGACTGTTAAACAAAATTACAGGCATTTAAAATGCAACATATATTTTTCAACAAACATATACAAAGACATGCAACTGCATATATCAAACAAAACCACCTGTTTTTTGTTTGTTGCAAACAAATATAAATAAAAAAACAATAAATAGAAGTGGGATAAAAGAATGTTTGTGTTGGAAAAAAAAACCCCTGAATTGTGAATAAAAGGTCTATTATCATAGATAGCGTACCTTGTCAGAACCGATCAAACTAACTAAAATGATTCAAGAGGAAGTTCTAAAAAAAGAAGAGAAAAATCCATCAATTCTGGGTGTGGTCATAGCAGTCAATTGGTTTTTATGGTTACACTGATCCTAATCCAATGGTAGATAATATTCAAGATGGGGTATTAAAACATAACAGAGACAAAACATGCAAAGGCAAATATTCCAGCTATCCAGGCCAAGTGGATTTTTCAAAATGTACAAGTTTGGAAAACTTTTCAAATGGTATCATTTCCTCACCACAAATGGCTTCATTGAGATGGTTATTGGTAAAACTGGTTTCAGTTGTATGTTGCTGATCTGTTTCTGGATTGGAATTTCTAGAGGTCATTCTTCACCAATGGACCTCCTGAAAAGGAAAAATAACGAGCCAAAAACATAAGAGATGTGAATCAAACGCACAAAAATTATTCTCAAATTTATTTATATCATGCAAACAAAATAAAAACGATGCGTTTAAGTTCCAAGTGTTTCCCTCAATGAAAGCAAGTTAAGAGAATATGCAAATATTACAATGAAAACCCATTGTATGTCAATTTTTTCCAACATGCAGACAGTTTTGCAATTAAATCAAGCTGTAAGCATAAAAGGGAAGAAGATATAGCTCATTATATCATACATAAGAAAATTTTTGAACTTTTTCCTGTAAACTAAATGTTAATAATTTATCTAAGCCATATTTATGTTTAAATAATAAAGATTATGTCCATTATAAATAAATAGTTTTTTAATAAAAATAATTTGATACCTGCAAATCCAAATGAATAAACTTTACTCAAAATTAGATACCAAATATGTGAATTTCTTGTTAAAACCTAAATGAAGTCACCTTGTGGCTGACTAAAGCTTGTCAATTAATTCTTTCATCAACTTATTTCCATAATTTTATTTGTTCTACAAGATTATGATAAACATTCATTTCAATTAACTTCAAATGAATGTTGAGCATGTATCTATTAACATCTTTAACATCATTAACATTTAACTCTTAACTATACAAGTAAAGAGAAAATTATTTGATTTCTTAAAAAAAAAAAAAAACTAATAATTTGTCCATATTAATGTATTAACATGCAAATATTATTATTATTATTAAACTGTTAATTGATTATAATTGGCACATAATTTTTTTTAATTGTCAAAAATATTTTTAAAAAAATTTAAAACATTTGGATTACAAATAAGAACCATACAGATAGTACATGGACCTCCCACATAAGATACACCAACTTAGCTCCTGGGATGTGTTGCCACTTACGTGGCTTGTTCAAAACTGAAGGCTAGAAGAACAATCAGGTCACTGATAGCAGGGGTGGATTCCAACCCTCTGTTAGTGGCCACTCTTCTAATTGCATCATTAGTTTTACTAGGCTCGCAAATATGACAAATGCTTGTTCTAGCTTGCAAATAAGGAAAAAAAAGGACGAGAAAGTCAGTCCTTATACGGTTAATAAATTTTTTTTATTTGACTAAGAAGGAGGGATAATTGTGTATACAAGTTGGTGAAAAGATAAGAAGCTTAAGAGGGTCATCACTCATTGACTCATAAGCTAATTCTGACAATTAATTATTAAACTCTCGAGAGTAAAAAAAAGAGTGCACTTCCTACAATCTGATTAGGAGTGGGGAGGAAATTATTTTTTAAATTTTGTTAATAAATTGGATCCTTGATTATTAAGTAGTAATTTTTAAAACATTTTAATTATTTCTACATAATTTGACTATTCCTTATTTAAAAATGAAGATGTGCTAAGTGCTCATTGACCTAAATGTTCCAAGGGGTACTAAGCAAATGTCAACTACCCTAAATGACCTGAACTTTGACAAAAGGGCATACAGAGTTCGTATAAGAGTTTTACACTCGGTAAAAATCGAGAATATTAAATTTAGAACGTTTTTAAATTAAAAGTTGAAATTCGAAATTAGTCAGTAATGATTGTGAGAGGTGGAGATGTCTTCTACCTTGTAAGCAAATCAATATGAAAAAGAGGTTTAAACCAGCTTATAATAGTAACTAGTTTCAAATCAGCTAGTTCAGTTTTAAAAGGTGAGAATGTTAGACCTATCCCACTAATTTTTACCTTCACCAACATGCATTTTTTTAAAGGAACTTTTTATGTGAAACTTAAAATGTTTGGATGGAAGTAAAATCAATAAATGCCGGTATGATCTTTAAATATACTGACAATGTGTATATAACTTTACACCTTAAAAAATTTAAGATTTAATAAGACTTATATCTTATAAATTATAGAAGAAGTTTTAAATTTATCTCTTTATCATTTTATAAAGTGAATGAGTTTAAGGCTTATTAATTATGTAAGCCTTTAATTTTGGAGATTATAACATTTAATCCAATAATTAATAAATAAATATTATTTTTTTATTTATTTTATTTATAATATATAAATAAATAAAATAAATAATAAATTAGTATCGCACAGGAACAAATAGATTATTAAACACTCAGTTTTTTGTTTGTTAAGTAGGCAAAAATTACAACAGACTATTAAAAAATTGTCCTTTTTTTGTGTTATTTTTTTCGACAAACCTGGCATTGAGATGCGCGTTTATATCTTGGAATATTTTGTTAACTTCTGTCTAAATTCTTTTACAGGTATTAAATCTTCTATTTTCATGAAAAATCGTAAACGAATTGCCACAAGTCTATCTTTCATTTTTCTTGGGTTCATCATCGAATCGGCGGGTTAAAAACTGATCTAGAAAAACAAAACAAAAATTCAATATGGCTGATTAAATAAAATTAATAAAACTAAGGTAATAATACTGGAATAAACTATAATTGTAAGGAATAATGGCCAGAAAAAGTATTGTTTAAATTTTAGAAATATTGGATATTAATTTATCAAATTGTACAGAATTGGTTAACAAAGTTATAATAAAATAAACTAGCAACATTAAATAATACAATTTAAATTTAATTATATACAAATTGCAAAGGAAATCAAGCTGACTGCGCGAAACAACTTTCATTTGCAGAAAAGTACTTTACAGCACAATTCATATTCAAGAACATTTCTATCTATATATTTAGCGTTGTTGTTGAAATAATAAAAAAAAAGAAAAGGTTTTGCTGTGAATACAACAAAAACCAAAATTGTGTTATATTTGTATTGCCATCTAAAGTGTGTCTGTGTAATTTAAGTGAAGTTAAGTCTCTTTTAAAAGATAGACACAAATGCATCTTACATACCAGACCAGGGAGGATAGTTAGACTAACAATAAGATGATAGGCAAAGATCAAATTACTTGTATTAAAAACGTATATTCATTGCATTATTTATCATAATATTTTGTTTGTATACCAATTCGGGGGGGGGATAAGGAAATTTACTTTAATGTAAAAATGTGTGATTTCCTCAAAAGTAATAACCACTAGTTCAACGAAGTGAGTAGAAACGGAGTTTTTGAATCTCGGGAAATAATTTATCAATAATGATTATTATGACACTATTTCATTATTCAAGAAGAAATTTATAGTTTAATAATCAATTTATTTGTAAGGCATTTTATTTATAACTTCCTTATTCCACTTGACACTGAACAAGTCTCTTGATTGTGTACCTGATATCTGTTTGTAAATCAATGCAATTAAAAATTCAAGAATGAAATTTTTTAACATTTAGAAATTTAAAAAAAAATTAATGGCAAAATTTGGGATTGTACTGTTCTGTAGAGTCGAGGATTTCAAAGTATACCTCTGAATAAATAAACATTTAAAAAAATGTATGAGAATTTCTTAGATTAAATGTCAATATGAAAGTAATAGTGACTAAATAATAAAAATAAAATTGATTCCGAGAAAAATTTGTTCAGTCAAGGGGTTTCTCTCATACATGCAACTTGTACCTACATATTGAAGTCTCGTTAAAATTTGCAAATTTGAACTTTACTTATTTCTGGCAAAATTTGGTCCTCTGATACTCCACAGAAAAGTTACAAATGCAGACTACTAGGAAATAAATGATGATATTAATGGGTTTTTTGACAGCAAAAATTATGATTGAATTGTTTTATAAAGCAAAAAATTCAAAAGTGTAAAATCAATCAAAGTGTTCCGCAAATAATTCTTTAAATTTTAATTAATTAGATAGAATTTCAGTAATCAATTAGTTTGGTTTTTTTAACGTTTTCATATCTGAAGAAAAAATTATTATAAAAATGCATGAGAATTTGGTAGATTATATCAAATCAACGGAGTGACAAAAGAATAAAAATAAATCCATTATATTTTGTGGTCCGATTGACCAAATAACTTCTTTCAATTAATTAATCTTTATCTAAGGTATTGATTGAAATGAAAAAGCTAGTGACATAAGCGGGATTCCTACATTAGCCGAAGGTCGTGGGTTCGAATCCCGCTCGTGTCACTAGCTTTTTCATTTTAACCAATACCTTACATAAAGATTAATTAATTGAAATAAAAATAAAATTGACTTAGGCAACACCCATGGTTAATTTAACATATACACAATACAAGTTGTACAAGTAATCATTCATATTGAACTTTCAATTAAGATTTTAAAATTCAAGCTCTATTCTGGTACACCATCACAATTTCTGTCAAAATTGGGTCTTTAGATTTTCTGCAAAAACTTCGAAAATTCGAACTATTCACGTTTTTCCTGAGAAATAACAAAAAGAAAAGTGAAGTATTAAATGTACTTGATAAAATTTTAAACCTTGGTTCCGAACGGAAACAACAGATTCGTTCCCTGACGGCCTATGTTCAGAAGAAAATTTTCGAATCGTCTCTAGATTCTAGAGATCAAAGTTAAAGAATCTGTTACAAGCATGCTCGTTTCGTACAGTACACTGTGTTGTGGACTTAACAAACTTACGAAATGTATCTATTTTTAGTTTACCCCGTTAATTCGCGTTTTAAGTTTATTTGCTATATACATGAATGGTATGTATGTCCATGTCGGGAAATTTCATTTAAACGATTTTATATTATTGGAATATTTTTCCTGAAACCTGAAATGTCCGACCTCCCACCGACTATGTAGAAAAATAATTAATTATTATAGTTTACATAGCTCCATTATGAGTTTTGTGTTTAGAACAGGCTGTTAATGATAAATAAGTATTGTCTGTGATCATAACTGCACCTAGTCTATTCTCAAGGTACGCCGGTTCTGAAAGGGGCCAATGCTCTTGCTGCTGATTTTTGTTACTGTCTTGGGACCCTTGTGAAATCTTTTTACACTTGTCTTTTGATGAAAAACATTTTGTGCTTTCGTGTTTAGAGAAGTCTGGACGTTGAACATTTTATGGTTTAAGGGGTAATCAAGCATTCCTTAAAAGGTGAAGCGGTTGAAATTAAAACGACACAAAGCAAGGGTGCGAAAATAAATTTTTTGAGACAAAAGACGTGAACAATATGTCCAGAATGAAGGAAGCTTTACCTCCCATATCGTTTCATTTAAATAATTCTCTTAATTATGATAAATTGAAGTCGTTCTCATTCTTATCTTGGTACTCCTCGATTATCGGCATTTTAATTTTCCAAAGTCAAAGTAATGAACACACTCCCATGAATAATATTAATTAAAGGGCTCCCAACCGATTCAAAGGGCCCGTTAAACGAGCCGCGAATGCCGTGGAAAATGTGGGGAAAATATCGACTTTATTGATTATGTGCCATACCGAAAGCAGACTCTGGAAAGCTATTAAGAGAGGGAGAGGTCAATAAAGTGGAGGTGTAATGTCATCACGGCATAAGTCCATTTGTTATGGATGGAAACCGTTCGTTCATCTTTATTTGTCGTTGAAGATAGAAATCTTCATTTATAATTAGGGCAGAACTATACAAACCGTGAAATAAGTTTTCATCCTAGTCCACTTAACGAGGTAACGTGTCACTTGACTCTTGAGCCCTTTCCTTTATATTTTCGTCCATGTTAATTTGTAATTCCGTTTTATTTGTACGTAAAATACCATTTTTAATCAAACATTTAGCGTTAGTTGACCTTTTATTTATTTAGACTTAATGGCAAAAGCTTTGGTGATTTATATGTATTAACTTTTTGTTTGAGCCTCGTACACTGTTTTTGAAACTTTTATTTCATGTATCATGCTATTTAGAAGCAACAAAATATACATATTTGTTTTCCATATAATTACATATTTTATGTGTGGCGTTTAGTGACCGATCGTGAGTTGCGGTCTGGTGTGACGTAGGTTTTAAAAAACATTTTCTTATCATGCCAACGTTTCAATCTTTATGGAGATCATCTTCAGGGCCTGGGATTTATAAACATTGTTTAAATTTTACAAATACATGCAGGATGTGGAAAAAAGATTGAATTTCTAGCATTGTATAAATTCAATTTTTTTCACATCCTACATGTATTTGTAAAATTTAAACAATGTTTATAAATCTCAGGCGCTGAAGATGATCTCAATAAAGGTCGAAACGTTGGCACGATAAAGAAAATGTTTTTCTAAAACCTACATCACACCAGACCGCCTCTCTCTCACGATCTCCAAATAATCATAATAAATATTTTATCTTAATTTACATATTTTGGTCAATAATTAATCAAATAAACTACAAAATTATTGAAAAATCTAAAAAAAGAGCAAAAAACTAAAGATTTTTAGAGAAATAAAGAAGTCAAGGCATAAACAAAAAATTTCGAGGAACAGAAAATGGGGAAATCTTTTATCATAGACCAATACACGTAACGTGCCCCACCCCCCAACGCCAATCATATATGAAGTGAATTTTCTGATGCGTATTTTTTTTATATCAAACATAAAAAAAGTTTCCCCTAAAGTCCCGAGTATAATAAAGATTTTAACGGATAACCATCCAGATTTATGGCTTCCACCACAACGTGTGATAACTAGATGGAGGACCTGGAAGAAGTCGCCATAATACAGTAAAAAAATTCAAAAATTAAGGACGTCATTGTAAAACTAGCTCTAGAAAAGGCAAAATAAATTATGGAAACATGGATTTTTTTTTAAATTTAGCTTTTATCGCATCCAATTTTTATTTTGATTTGGGAAAATTGCAAAAAAAGAAATTCCTCCCGCTCCAAATGAAACTGCATTCTTCAATTCGACCACTATTACTTCCGTAGATGAGGAACGTTATTGTATCGATACAAAAATATTTTAACTCCAGGAATAATTTTACTTTCGAAAAACTTTTTAAAAAGTTACATTTTTAAATAATTTTAAAGATTAAGTTTTAAATTTTTATTTTGTCACTTTTTACGTTTTCCAAATACATAACGTAATATTGCATTTCTAATTTATTCATTTAAAAAAATGCCTCTTTTATTTTATAGATTTTTTTGTAGGACTAGAAATATATTTTTATTTGCGAAAATTTAAAAATGTGTTATTTCAAATAAATTTGAAAATTAAAGGTTTATTTATTAACGTATTATATTCTTCCTTTTTACACGTTATTCAATTAATATGTATAACTTTTAAAAATTCTTTTAAAAAATGCAAAACTAAATTTTTTTTAAATTTTACATTTTTTTAACCTGCATATTTTCTAAAAAATAAATACCTATAAATGTATATATTTTATAATTTATTTCACACATAAATCCCCCCCGCCCCTAATGAATAAGAAGTCCAGTTTTCCAAATTAAAATTGAGCAACAAATATGATTTCCAGCAGTTTACACACCATGAACATTAGAATTGAGATTAGAAATAATTTTGAAACATTAGT